CCACAGGAATAAAGATACAGATCTAGACTGTTGGAAGTTGGTTGCAGCACAAATAAAAGAGTAAGTAAAGTTCAAGAAATTAGTGTGGGATGCTGATAGCTTCTGCTATAACAGGCAATTTTTTGTTTGCAGACAAGAGTGCTCAGGAATGGAAAAGCATAGACTTTCTCTCTAGAAGCACTTGATAATTTCCATTTGGAATCTCTGCAGCTTCAATATATGGACAACTTCTTGGAATCCTTGGTCCTGCATAGTGCCCTGATCCGTGCCTGGGTGTGCGTCTCTTTTATCTTGTCAGGCTTATTAGGAGCTCACTGAAAGCAGGGCCCAGTGCCCTGTGTCCTATTATCCTCACTGGAGAGCCTGGTCAAACGACAACTCATGTTCTAACTGAATTGATGACCACATAGATGAATTTTGCTCTATATAAATGGAGTTGAGAGAGAGAGATGGGGAGAGAAAAGAAAAACCAGTTGGAATGAAAAATCTTTGCATAGCTCTTGCCTCTGCCTGCATTGCTCTCCCTTGATGGTCACGTGTCAGATTCCGTGTTATTCATATCTCAGCTGCAAGTTACCTCCCCGGGTCACTCCTGACTCCATTATTTAAAGTAGCCACCCAGAGGGGCGCCTGGGCGGCTCAGTTGGTTAAGCGTCCGACTTCGGCTCAGGTCATGATCTCACGGTTCATGGGTTCAAGCCCTGCGTCAGGCTCTGTACTGACAGACAGCTCAGAGCCTACAGGCTGTTTCAGATTCTTTATCTCCCTCTCTCTCTGACCCTCCCCTGCTCATGCTGTCTCTCTCCCTCTCTCAGAAATAAATAAAACATTAAAAATAAAAAAAAAAGTAGCCACCAAGATACTCTCTAGCACATTACCTTGTAATCCTCTGCATAGCGCTTATTACCATGTCAAGTGTTCCTTGATTGTTTATATTTTATTGCCTGTCTCCCCCATAAATACAGGTTATTTATACTGTGTTGTCTTCTTTATATAAGAATAAAGTTTCCATGAGAGCAATGACATTGTCTGGCTTCCTCACTCTAGTACCTTCAGCATACACTAGTGGATCAGTAAGTATTTTCCTGAATGAATGAATGTATCACAAACAGAAATGAAAACAAACAAAACTTCCCTTTGGACCCTAGACTCTTGTTAAAAAGATTTAGGAAGGAAAGAAAGGTCGCAGTGAATGAATAGAACATCTAGATTCCAGAGTTGTCTGTGGGATTTTCATTGGGAAAAGAGGTAACAGATAACTTCTTAAAATTGCTTTTATTAAAGTAGAATAAAACAATATATGTGTGACATATAGAGTAACAACAAAAATGAAGATACTACGTGCCCAGCTTAAGAAATACAGTCAGAATCACCTTTAGTAATGGATGTTTATTACAGTCACAAGAGTATATGGGATAGCACTGAACATCGTTTCTTCCCCAGCCATATCGTTACTTACAGTCCCCAAAAGTCAGACTGAGATGTTAAAAAGCCTCATGAGGAAGTGGGAAAAAAATAGCTTAACATTTTGTGGAAGAAACCTGACCTCAAATTATCTGCTCTCTTTGTTTTAGCTGCCATAGCCTCATGTCAGGAAAATGTGATAATGACATTTATGTGATAATGACAGTTGCAAATCCTGGGAAGCAGGCTTGGAAACTGAAGAGAAAGGCCCAGGCCCTCTGTAGGCTGTTGGGAGATAAGCTTGACTCTGAGAGTTGGAAAAGGGCTGAGTGGAGGCTTAATTGTGAACCAGGAGATCCTCTGAGAAAAGAGAGCAGTTAATACAGTCTGGTCAGGTTTGGTCTTTACCTTTTTTTTTTTTTTTTAATATTTTTATTTATTTCTAGGAGAGAGAGAGAGACAGCGTGAGCAGGGGACGGTCAGGGAGAGAGGGAGATACAGAATCTGAAACAGGCTCCAGGCTCTGAGCTGGCAGTCAGCACAGAGCCCGACGCGGGGCTCGAACCCACCAACCGCGAGATCATGACCTAAGTGAAAGTAGGACGCTTAACCGACTAAGCCACCCAGGCGCCCCTGGTCTTTACCTTTTTAAATCACCTTTCCCAACTGTATTGAGTTCTGGGTCCTCTTAGAGGGGTGGTAGTACTTGCACTTCAGGCCATCTCTGCAGCAAGCTGGTAGAGATGGGTGGGGCCTGTACTGTAACAGCTAAGCAGCCCGTGCCATCCTCTCCAGTGTATCTCTCCAGAAAAGGGCCCTCTGGAGAGTCTGGCAGTTTTCTGGCAATTCAGGAAAACTGTCGCTTAAACAGACTCAGCTGTTTGCAGAGGCTTGTGATTTGCCCTGATTTAGCTGTCTACATGCTGACTGACAAATCCTTCCAAGAGACAAAGGGAGGGGAACACAGCAGGTCACCAACTCCTTCCCTTGAGAGGAGAACTGGACTTTGCCATTCCCCCTACTACCCAGGAAGCTACACTAAACTGCCACAGGCCAGATTGGCTTGCCCAGAGCCCATACACTGGAAGCTTCAGTGCTTTGTCACAGACCCTTGCCTACTTTGCCAGTAGTGGACAGTTCCCCCAAGATCAGACTCTCATAACGCTGGCAGAAGCCGACCTGAGGGGCTGCCCTGCAGCTTTTACTTTCTTCCTCTTCTGACATCCAGGGCCCTCTTGGCCACAAAGGCTACTTGTTAGTACAGAGGAGCTAACTCCCCTGGAGGCAACCCCAACCAGGGGCTCTCAGGAAGACACTTCTGAGACTTTTGTATGCTTCTGAGATCCATCCCCTCCCCGCTGCCCCAGGCCCCAGAATTGAGCCCTTATTGCCTATCAGTAACCTTGGTAACACACTTGGTTAGTGGCTTTTCCTCCTTCTCGGTCTCATTGTCCCCATGGCCTCATTCCTGTTCCCTGGCATCATCTCCCAAATAAACTATCTGCACCTAAGGCCTTGTCTCAGGCTCTGTTAGGGGAGGCCCAAACTGAAACATCAACTGGCACTCATTCCAGCTAGAGCCAAGCCCTATGTGCACAAGTCAAGCTGCCTAGTAAAGGGGGACAGCTGCCATCCAACTCCCACTGATGGCTGCCATGTGGATCAGCAGGCCTACCGCTGCTAGAAACCCAGGCTTTAATGGGAAATCCTCTTTAAATGTTAGCACCTAATTCAAAACTAAAAACATTGCATCGTGTCCACCATACCTGCTGACCACATCAGGCCCATGAGCAGCCTACTTGGCATAGTATGGCACCAACCCCATGAACAGTGGGGGAAGGAGTCATCCATTAACGGACTAGAACCCTAAGGATGGAAGAATAGGGGAATGAGAGAACAAAGACTTGGATGGAAGAATAGGGGAATGAGAGAACAAAGACTTGAGAAGGGCCAGAAAGGGCCAGAGCCCTTGGATAACACATTAGAGCTAACACACATTGAGTGTTTACTATGTGCCCAGTTCTCAACCCCATTACCCCAATCTTACCACCTCAGGAGGCAGACAGTACTTTCATTATCATCATCTTATAGCTGAGAGGAAACAGCTGTCAGAGATTATGATAGAGCTGGGATTCAAAATGAGGCCTCTCTGGGTTGCAACCCTACGAAAGGAGCCAGTCACTGGAGGTTCTAATTTTGGGTTCACTCAGGAAAATATCCTTGCCTCATTTTACAGAGAAGCTTCAAATAGAGAAAGTTCTTTATTGGACAAAGCCAATAAAGGCATGAGGGATGATAAAACAGAAAATCGTCATTATGTAATTCCTAACGAAATAATAGATCAAAGCTAGGTAGATCATAATTTAAGTGAAAGACTATTGGGCACTTGATGAATAAATCAGGTCGTTCCTGATGTAATGCAAAAGCAAGTACCTCTTACCTCCTATGATGTATACTTGCCAAAGATATTAGAATCTGAGTCTGAATGAGCTTCTAGATCTCCCAGTTTGCAGGAAAAGTGGGCAATACTGGGACATAGTTAATAACATCATAGGGACACAACTAGGCAAATCCAGAACATGATTAATTTTAGGGCATATCACCTAGTTTTCCCAACAAATGGCAATGAATACAAGAAGGGGAACTGCTAAGTATTTTTACAGCGACTTAAGGGATGTCAACAAAATGCAGTTATGAACCTTGTTTGCACCAAGTTAGACAAATCAACAAAAAGACATTTTGTGATAACTGATGGGATTCAGGACATGCTATTCCAAAACGTGGCACCTTGGTGTACTGAATATCTTAAGCTAAAGGAGTCTGAGAAATGACAGATGCTGGAAGGACTCTCTGACCTCCCAAGAAGCAGGTCATGATAACCCATGTGAGAGGGGCCCTCCCTATACCCAGAAGAAAGGAGCATCTTTATCTTTTAAAATGGAGGGACACTGAGATTTTGAATGAGAAGGCCATGCTAAGTTCCCCTAATTTACTATGCTTAGCTCATACCCTTCTGTTCCTCTCAGTTTTCCACAACTTTCTACCTTTCATCAAATCTCATGTAAAAATGCTCAGGTTTAACTGTTTCTTTGGGTCTTCATTTCCTTATGAAGGGTTCCCATGGCACATCAAACTTAACTTATATGCTTTTCTTTTGTTAACCTGTCTTTTGTTATAGAGCCTCAGCTAAAAACCTTAAAAAGATAGTTGGAAAAAGACATTTTTAAAAAGTATTTTAAAAGTTATTAGGTGATATTATATAATTAAGGATTACTGTTGATTTTGTTAGCAATGATAATGGTGTTATTACATATAGATTTTTTAAATGTTCATTCATTCAGACTCAGATTCTAATATCATTTAGGGGTAGAGAGGAGAAACGGGATCCCATGCAGGCTCCATGCTCTGAGCTGTCAGCACAAAGTCCAATACAGGGCTCGAACTCATGAACTATGAGCTCATGATCTGAGCCGAAGTCAGATGCTTAACTGACTGAGCCACCCAGGTACCCATTATTACACATATTTTTAAGTCCTTACAGTTTTTCCAGAAGACCGAATGGAACACTTATTACACAAAAAACCTCTATATTTCAATAGGGGTCTTTCATGGAAAGGAGAGCTTTATTTCAAAACAACCTGAAAAAAAGGTCAGGTTCATAACTACAAACTGGTAGAAGGGAGCACATAGTCACATATCCATTCGGCAGGGCCTCGATTAGGAGTCTTGTCAATTCCTGTTGATTGCCCAACATATACTCAGCTTCCTCTTTACGCTGAAACTGAGAAGTAGAATTGAAGATGCCCATGATACTTTTGTTATCCAAACATGCCTATTTCAGGAAAGAAGACATCTGGATTCATCTTAATCTGCTTAATTATTAAAGTAAATACACTGAGAATACAGTTCATTTAGTAGCTTTCTTCACATGCTCACATTTTTAAAAGAGCCACAGACGTTTGTCTCATTCATGTTTCAAGCAGTTGAGTTGGTAAAGATCCTGTCTCTACTTCATAGGAAATGGATTATACTCAATTATTCCTCATGACAGCCAGCTGAAAGATTATTCCATTGGTTTTGAAGGGCTGGTTGGGTTGGCATCTGCAATAGTAGCCAAATAAATGAGATTTCTATGTAACACATGCTGGTACCTAGGGGGGAGAAACAGGCAAAAATGAGAGGCTTGTTTTTGCTGAACATTAATCAAACACTGGAAAGGAATTTACCCACTCTAGTGGAATGACTCATCTATTGATTAGATGATTCAGTATCATCAACCTCCTTATTTAACACCACGGAAAATATATCCAGCTTCTTACCTATTCGCACTGATCCTTCCATACCTACCTCTCTGGGCTAAGCCACTCCCCTTCTTGCTTAGACTACGGTATTGGGCCAGTCTCATATCTGGTCTCCCTGCTCTACCTTTGACTCCTACTCTATTCCCTAAGTAGCAACCTAAGTGATCACTATATAGTATAAGACTTGCAATACCTCAGATTAAAACCCTCCAAAAGCTCCCATCTCATTCTGAGTAACGCTGAGCTCTTCTAGCCCTTCTGGTGGCCTATGAGGCTACAAGATTGGGGCCTCTATAGTTATCTCTCTGATCTCAGTTCCTACCACTTTCCTTCTGCTGAGTTCGAGCTTCATTTTCCTCCTTGCTGTGATTTGAAGATAACCAGCATCTTCCATCCCAGGGGGATTTTCCACCTGATGCTGACTCTGCCTCACAAATCTTAAAGCTGGCTCCCTCACCTCTGGTGTCTGCTCAAATGTCTCATCAGAGATGCCCTGTGTAAAATGCCATCCCTTCTTCTCGACTTACCCTGTTTTATTCTTATTCAAAGCACTTACTAGTATGTGCCTAATTGTATGATTTCTTCCTTCCAGCTTCTGGAGACTAGACTGTAAACTCTATAAGAGCATAGAAGGCACCTGATTTGGTAAAAAGCAAAGCTGGTTTTGGTACTGATTCCTCAGTAGCTGAAACAAAGTCTGGTACTCAGTAGTACTTACAGAATGTCTGTTGAACAAACTTAAAGAAGGGACAAAGCATTTCTATGGTATCATTGTGAGCTTACTAGAGTAGTGATTCTCAATCAGGTGATAGAGTTCTCTACCCAGGAAGACAAACCAGACTAGGAGGCCAGCAAGCACGGCCCATGCAATACAAAAAAGCCCACCAGAAATTTTTGATAAATTTCTTATGCATGGGTTGAGAATCGCTACACCAAATGGAATGTTTTGCAACTATCTTCTATATAGAAAAATGGGAGAGTTTACTATGAACCATATAAAGGCAAATCGCCAAAAGCCAGAATCAAATGCAAAGTCTTACACAAAGACGGACATCTCTACTATTCCATTAAGCTAAGTGAGGGATTGTAGGTGATTTTTTTTAGGGGGTGGAAAAAGCATGGCTTTCTTAAACATGTCCTCAGTAAGAATGAAATAATGTTATAATAAACGGAGCCTAATTCCTGGACTACATTTAGAAAGGAGACTATTTTCTCTCATTTTGATATATAACTAGAGAGCACATTCAATTACTTTGCTGAATGTGCCTTTGGCTTAACTTGCAAGTCTTTTATTGGTCCTTGTGTGCATTACAGACTGCAAGTTAGAAAATGAAATGGAGGGGCGCCTGGGTGGCTTAGGCGGTTAAGCGTCCGACTTTCGCTTAGGTCATGATCTCGCGGTTTGTGGGTTCGAGCCCCGCATCGGGCTCTGTGCTGACTGCCAGCTCAGAGCCTGGAGCCTGTTTCAGAGTCTGTCACTCCCTCTCTCTGACCCTTCCCTGCTCACGCTCTCTCTCTCTCTCTCTCCTAGAAATAAATAAAACATTAAAAAAAAAAAAAAAGAAAATGAAATGGAACTTAGCGGTCAAATGGTCCTACCCTTTCAGAAAAAGGATGAGCTGAGGATCCATGATGAGAAAGGGGCCACAGCTCTCATCTCCCGAGACTAGTTTTCCATATGCTCCCGTCCCCACCCCTGCTGTCATCAGCTGACATGTCTACACAAGGAGGTTTGCGGTGAGCATGATTCAAATTCAAAGAGGGTGCCACATCCGACTCCAGGCTTCACAGTGTGCCGTCTGTGTGGTTTGGGGCAGGTAAGTGGCCTCTGAGCCTCATTGGGGATCAATCATCCAAGACTCCTAGTTCAGGAGCACCGCACTGGTTTATCCTCCCCTCAAAAGTTGGGGGAAAGAGCGGGTACTTACTGGACGCACTCATTCGCCCGGCCTTTGTTCTGATACTCCACGATACAGCGGATGAGCTGGTCATTCTCCTCAAGGAGCTGAAAGACCAGAGAAAGGGTCAGTGCAGTGCGTCATCGGGACTGCCGGGTACACTGCCCCCTAGACTCTCCAGTGCGGGGCAGTAGTGCCCCGGTGCCTTTACCAGCTTCGTTCTGTCTCACTCCATACCGCTGCAAGCCAACCCCCTACGTACACCCACCACAAGCCTCGACTGGGATGTAGCTCACTCCAGGAAGCTTCCCGCACCCGTAGCCTTTCGGGATCTCAACCAAGGAACTTCTCTCCGTCCTCGTCCGCGCTCACCCGCTGGATCGTCTCCTGATTGACTTCCGCCTTGCCTTTCAGCCAGTCCGGTACGAAGGCCACCGACATCCCGAGAAGCCAGGTTAGAACCCGGCCTCAAGCCCTGCGGAGCCCCGCGCATCTAGACCCGAGCCAACTCGCAGCCCCAGGCGCACAACAACCGCAGCAGGGAACCATGATAGGTGGTGCCTACGCTCCAGACGTTGATTGGGTCCTCCCCGGGGACTGGGAACAGACGGAACGTCATTTGTGATTGGGCGCGCAAGGGCGATGCTCAGAGCGTCAGCCTCGGTCCCGCCCCTGGGGCTCGGAACTGTTGGCGGCCCCATTGCGTTTGCGCAGTCTGGAGAGCTATCCTCGAGGGTGGGGCCCGGCGTTAGCGCTCCGCCTTTTAGGTGCTGTGCAGTGTATCTGCGGGAGCACCTTGCCAGGGGTCACGCGGGTATTGTGGCTGAACCCGAGATATCTGGGTCCAAGTCCACTCCTCCCTCTTTCGACATCACTCTGGTGCCTCCAGATACGCGTCTGGAGCGTGAACCCTGGCCATAGTCTCCTGCCAAGCCAAACCCTGCAGGGCCTAGGAAAACACTAGTGTTAGCTTTACTCTTCGCTAAGGAAGAAACCTGTATATATACCTGTTTTTCCTTTGGGTGGTACTAAAGCTCATTAGGTTTACAGCCCTAAAAAGAACTATTATTTTCTCTATTTTACAGACAAGAAAATAGATTAAATAACCTGCCCAAGATCTCTCGCTATTTGGGTCTGGAACTCAGGGTCAAGGCCTGGGGTGGCGATATAAGCTTTGAGGGGCATCACTCGCGGAAACAGAACCATGCAGTGGATAAATTTGCCCAAGGAGAGTGACTTGGTTTCTTTCATGGCCAAGGAAAAGAAGCTACAAAGAAGGATGGGTGTGTGTGAGGGGGGGGAAGACTAAAGATATAAGAGGAAATCCAGGTGGGGGGTGGTCATATAAAAAATAATAGTGATTGAGAAAGCAAGACAGGACAGCAATGACAAATGCTGTTGAAAGGTCAAGCAAGATAAAGACTAGAACTTCGATGTCTTTAATGAAGGAGATATCAATGATGCGATGAGGCAGAAGTGAGAATTTCCAGGGACTATGAAATACAGGAAAGGTGAAGCAAATGGAGTCTTTAGAGCAGACCACTGTTTCCCGAAAGTCTGGCTATAAAGGGGAAAAGGGAAAGAAGGTGGTGGAGGGACAGAAGTTGGTGGGAGCTGAGGACTATTACTTTAATGGCTGCTTTTTCCTCAGTGAAGGGGGCACCTGGAAGGGCTCGGGGGATCTTGAAGAGTGGAAGACCTGGGGAGCCTCCAGGAGATTTTGAGGTTGGTGTTGGGGAGAGCTGGAGAGAGAACCAACCTGGCAAACATAGGACTGCCGGGTAACGTTGAGGACCTGGTGGAGGCTGGCAATGTACATGCATAGCACTGACCTGTGTGATTTTTTTCTAGCAGTACTTCCAGATCAGAGGCTTATTTAGAGAAGCCGGAAGACTGAACTCCTTCCTGAGTTGGCAAGCTCCAAGGCAGATGTGACAGAAGAAAAACTGCACAATGGAGGTAAGCATATTGGGAAGAACGTGATGGAAATGATAGACCCTGGACTGTCAGTGGATGGGGAAGGAAATAAAGATTTCCTTTATGGGAGAGAGGTAATACATAAAACAAAGTAGAAGGACAAGTGGACTGGAGGCTTCTGAAGGCCAGGCAACAGTGGGGAGAATTCTGAGAACAGCTGAGGGACAATCTGAGATGAGGTGTCTGCATTTACCACTTCAGAGGTTGGAGCTCTTCTGTGGTGATACAGCAGTCCAGGGTGTGACCCTGGAAGTGGAGGAATGAAGAAGGCTGGAAAAGAAAATCTCTGGAGCCCAGAGTCAAAACAACCAGTGATTGGAGAGGAGGGCTGGGACCCCAGATACATCTCACCCCTGTAGCCCAATCCACTTTGGTGCCTGACCCACTCTAGCTGCACCCATCAGAGGGCACAAAGCCCGATTATAAAGCATTCACATTGCAGGTCCTGAGAGCCCAAGCCTCCATATTCAAAAGCTTTGGGTTTTTTTGGGTCTGGCACCAATTTTTCCTTCCCCATTTAAGCCAGAGCCTTGTTTTCATGACTTGTGGTGACAAGAACAGGTCTTCTTTCACCTGTGAATACACTTTGGGAGGGAATCCCAGCCTCTTTCCTGGCACATACATTGAAGAGGTTTCAATCTCCGTTACCAATCAAATCTCATTGCTTTTATTCTTTGTGCCTTTTATGACCTAGCCTCATGATCACTTGTCACACAGGCCAACCCTGATCCAATGTGGGCAGGACTATACAAGTGTGTGAATATCAAGAGGTGGGGATCCCTGGAGATGGTCTGTTTTCATTTTGTAATTTTTCTCTGGCTTTGTAAGACCTCCTTCAATTCCACCCATGTGGTGTTGACTTTCAAATGTTGATGTCCAGCCCAGACCTGTACAAGGAATGGCAACCTGTACATTGAACTGCCTACATTGACACCTGGACCAGAAGTCTCAAGGGTGCCTCAGATTCAACTTGTCTGAGATAGTACTAGTGATCATTCTTCTTTCCAAAATGAGATCCTCTTCCAGTGTTCTCTGTATCTATGAATCCCTCCACTATCTATGCATTCACTCAAGGCTGAACAGTGGCCTTATCCTTGAAGCCACTTTGTTACTCTTTCACATCCAATTTGTCACCACGTCTTGTCGATTTTGCTCCTACCTGTTTCTGCAGACTGTCTGCTTCTCTTCTTCTTCTTCACCATTGCTCCAGTAGGAGTCTAAGCCCCAGCTTCATCCTCTGTTGCCCAGATGACTGCATTGGCTTCCCAGCTGGTCCTACCAGAGCTTCTATGAGCCTTTTTCATTTTGATCTTAACTTCAGCAGCCAAAGTGATTTTACATAAGGTAAATTTTATCAGTTTTCCACTGTCCTAAACTTTCTAGCATGGCCTACAAAGGTCCTAAATGGTCTTAGCTCTTCTATTCTCTCTAGTGGCTCTCATCCTATTCCTTACTCTCTCAACTCTGAGTTCCTTATCTTGGCTTTTTTTTTTTTTTGTGGCAAAATGTACATAACATACAATGTACCATTTTAACCATTTTTAAATGTTCTGTGACACTTAAAATTGTACATTATTGTGTGGCCATCACCACCATTCATTTCCAGAACTTTTTCATCTTCTCCAGCTGAAATTCTGTGCCTGTTAAACACTAGCTCCTCATGCATCACCCCTGTTTCTTTTCATCCATCAAAGGAGCCCTGCTGCTTTCCTGTTTGTTATACACACACTGCCCTCTGTCTGAAACACTCTTCTTTTCCCCTTTGCCCAGTGAGCTACCAGTCAGCTAGTGTCACGTTCTCAAGGAAGCCTCCTAGGACCCCCCAAGTTCAGACCAGGAGCTCCTGTAACTTCTCCCCAAGACCTTGTTCCTTTCTGAAGAGCACATATTTCATTTGTATTTCAACACATGCTGTGTAATTGTTTGATAGGTGCTCTCACTCTGCCTTCTCTTAACATAGTTGTTAGTGTCAGGAGTTCCTCACTGTGTCCCCACTACCTGGCATAGTGCCTGACACACAGCAGGTACTCAGAATTTGTTGGACGAAAATTAAATGTATGAGTTCTGCTCCCCTGCAGAGGGCCACCCATCTGTGACAGCTGTGAGTGCCTCCACCCCCAGACTGGGGTGTGTCCCTCCAGGGTCGGACTTTAAGCACCTCATCCAGGCTGGCAAGAGACTGTGCTCTTTGGTTTGCCTATCTCGTACTTCCCGCCCAGCTGCGCAGAACAGCAGAACCCACAGCTGGGGCGTGTCGCGGACTTACGCAGAACCTCCTTGTCGCGGCACGTCAGTTCTGCACTCTACCCCAGCAGGAATCGACCTGCAAGTCTCCTCGCACCTCCGGAAGTGGGAATTACAGGCTTGGACGTCAAACCCACGCGGGTGAGAGCCAGGAGACGGGAAGAAAGCTAGGAGGAGCACGCGCCCCTGCCACACCCCCTTTGCATTTGGGTCGCAGCTCTTTAAGAACCAGCTTATTCAGGACTCCCCCGGGACTGGGCGGGGAACCCCTCCAGGATTGGTCGGTTCGGGTGCGGGTGTCGCTTAGCAGCTGCAAATAGGAATTCAAGATTCGCGCGTGCGCACCATCGCCTACCTGCGCCTGGGCCGCCAGTGACCTGGGCCGGGTCCACCCGGTGGCCTGAGGTTGCGGAGGAGGCAGCGGGTGGTACGGCGGCGAGGCGGCGCGACCGGCAGGCGCCGACTCCGGAGGCCGCCGTAAGGGCGAGGTGAGGGCTGGCGGGCGGAGTTGGGCGCCGCGGCCCGTTAGGCGAAAGCAGGCGGGGTAGGGTGTGGCGCAGGGCGGGCCTGGAGGTGGAGGCGGCGCCGGGCCCGCCCCGCCCTCAGGCCCGGCTAAGCCCCTCCTGGTTTCGTGGGTCTTCCAGGAGTTGTCTGTTCTTTCTCACCCCCGTTGCTCTCCGGACTTGGGGACAACCCGGCCGCGCGCCTCCTGGAACCCTGAACTGAATGATGCGCGTGGAGCGCTGCTCCCAGTGGGAGGAAAAGGGGTTTGTCCAAATCAGAGAGGGGGCGATCGTTTTCTTGATTATCCACGAAGCCCACATCTGAGTACTGTTTAATTTTAAGAGCAAACTTCCCTTACCAGGCCGAAATTATACGACTTGGTTTACCAGATACTGGGCGCACTGGACCAGTTTTTCCGAACATTAGATGTAGGAGGTGATGTACATTTGTGTCCATTACAGGCTTATATCTAGACCGCCAGGGCCAGAAGGATAAAGCACTCAGGGAAAAATGAGGTTTTTAGAAATCAAAACCACAAAAGAATTGTTCCTAGTGGCGAAAAGTATTTGGTGAAATTTGTTACATGGTCAGAACAAAAAAGTAAAGCTCAGACCAATGGCTAGGGTAAATCTTAATTAAATTTTACGAAGGAATTAATCCCGATAAAGATAATTTTAGTAAAATTAAAATATAAATAATTGAAAGTGGTGCGTATTGGCAAATAGAATTAAATTGACATAATAGAGTTTGCTCTGGAAAATACATTGTAGACAATGTAGTTATAGCTCCAAGTGTTTGTGTTTACAATACAGAGTAGATCGTGAAGTCCAAAACTTTTAGTCTTAGGAAGAGCCTTAGAAACAAACTGCATCCAAAAGCTGACTGATGGTCAGAGAGGAAAACTGATTTATTCAAAGTAACACAAGGAGTAAAGAGTAATTGTAACAAGTGTAACCCTAGGCCTCTGCTCCTTCTATTATTAGTTGAGTAGTAATGCTCTAGGAGAAAGAAACAATAGAAATAGAGTAGCTGTGATCCCAAAAATTGGATTTAGAGAGGCAGAGTATAGTGGAAAGATTGTATAGGCTTTCAGATATTTTGAGTAAGTAAGTTTGGGTTTGAATCTTGGCTCTCCCGATTATGCCTTTGGAAGTGTATAGTTCCCACCTGCTCTATGTAGAGTATGCCTACCTCATAGATAATTTTGAGCAGTCAGTTTAAAAGTTCCTAGCACAGTGCCTCTCTCGTAATGTTAGTCGATATCAAGTTCAGTCCCCTACTCTTCTTAGCTTGTTTCAAAGAGTTATCTGCCCCCTCCCCACCCTCACACCATCCCCAAGAAACATGGAACAGAGGATCCTGAGTGATCTACAAATTAGGTAACCAGTTCTCAAGTGTAAGATGAATTCAATAAGGGTGACTAACAATTTTGTTTTCTGTATTGTGTACTTGAACAGTGGGTAATATGCCTCATGGCGAAGACTTGTGTTTGAGTATGTGTGCCAAATGAAATTCATTGTGCTTTTTTAAGTTACTATTTTGCAAGGCCTGGTCATGGTCGGATCATTTAATGCTGCTTTTCTCTCCTGGTTTTTCTTTCCTCTCTTTTGGAGGGAGGAGAGGAGGAGCATTTGTGGTAGGGATTTGGGAGTGCCCTAAGGGTAAGGGTGAGGAAAAAAACCAATAGGAGTAAGGATGGCCTCCAGCTAGGGACAAAGTGCAGGTAGAGTAGGGATAATCTATGACATGAGCAGTTTATAAATAGATGCTGAGAAGAGGATTTAGGAAATGGGGGAGGTAGATTAAAAATTTTATAAAGCATAGTAGCAGTGACGTAGGTATGTATAATTACTAATTCAGCTTCTGTTTCAGAAAAATTCCAGCTATATCAATGTCTTTTTCTCTCCAAGTAGAAATTTATTATGGAAAAGTGTTCAAAATATAGGTCAGGATATGACAAGATCTGAAAACCCACATTTCTTGTTTCATTGGACAAAAAAAAGGCAGCTCTTAGGTGTTCATTCATTTGCTTAGCAGTTTTTACTGAAGGCTTCTCATGTGTGCCAGGCATGGTGTTAGGTTACTGGCTCGTAGAGGGAGCTGGGAAGACCTGGAAGACAGACTGTTGTCTCTGTGTGAGTACTCTGAGGGTGCTTTTGTCTTTGTATAGTTCATAATATATTTTTTTCTATTGCGGCATGATTTTTCAGATTTATACCACTACTTTTTGTTTATAATTTTTATTATTCTTTTAAATGTTTATTTATTTTCTGAGAGAGAGAGAGATCGTGAGTGGGGAAGAGGCAGAGAGAGAAGGGGACAGAATCTGAAGCAGGCTTCAGGCTTTGAGTTGTTAGCCAGAGCCCCATTCGGTGTTGGAATTCACGAACCTTGAGATCATGACCTGAGCTGAAGTCAGATACTTAACTGACTGAGCCACCCAGGTGCCCCACTACTTCTTATTATTTAAACTGAATACTAGTTAAATGCAAACAGCTTTTTTAAAAAATTTTATAGTTTATTGTCTGTCAAGTTGGTTTCCATATAACACCCAGTGCTCATGCCCACAGGTGCCCTCCTCCATGCCCATCACCCCCCTTACCCTTTCCCCCACCCCCATCAGCCCTCAGTTTGTTCTCAGCATTCAAGAGACTCTCATGGTTTGCCTCCCTCCCTCTCCCCAACTATTTTCTCCCTTCTTCTCCCCCATGGTCCTCCGTTAAGTTCCATCTGATCCTCCTATACGTGCAAACATACGGTATATGTCCTTCTCTGCCTGACTTATTTTGCCCAGCATAACACCCTCAAGTTCCATCCATGTTGCTATCCATGTTGCTGCACATGGCCAGATTTCATTCTTTCTCAAAACAGTTTTTATTTTAATTAATCCTGAGATTATACTACCTTCTACTTTGGAAATGTCATGTAGTTATAGAGCTACTCACTATAAAACATGTTTTTCAACATTAAAGCAGAAATCATTGAAACTACAGTTAATTAGCAGAAAAGATTATTGATCTACTTATAGAGATATTTATTTTATTTTATTTTATTTTTAAAGCTTATTTATTTTGAGAGAGAATGCATGAGTGGGGAAAGGGCAGAGAGAGAGAGAGGGAGAGAGAGAGAATCCCAAGCTGACGCCACACTGTCAGTGCAGAGCCCATTGTGGGGCTCGAACCCACAAACCATGAGATCATTATTTGAGCAGAAGTCAGGAGTTTAACTGACTGAGCCATCCAGGGCCCCTACTTACAGAAATATTTAAAAATGATACTTAAACATAAAAAGCAGGTAGGAACGTAAGTGGTATAAAGTCCTTAAGTTAATACACTTATTCTTCAAATTTTATTTAAAAATGATTCCAGTTTTAGGAAGTTGCAAAGATAGTACAAAGAGGTCGCATACACCCTTTATCCTACTTTCCCCCCATTGGTTACATCTCACATAAGTACAGTGCAATATCAAATCCAGGAAATCAACATTGATATAAAGTATGTATAGTTCCATGCCCATTTTACCACTTATGTAGATTCCTATAACACCTTCACAAAATACAAAATTATTCAATCAACACAAAGATCTTTCTTTTGCTCTCCTTTATAATCACACCCATTCCCCTCCTCCCCACCATCCCTAACCCTTAGCAACTACTAATCATTCTTCATCTCTATAATTTTGTCATTATGAGAATGTTACATAAAAGGATTCCTGTGGTATGTGACCTTTTGAGGTTTTTTTTTTTCACTCAACACAGTGCTCTTGAGATCCATCCAAGTTGTTCTGAGTTTCAGTAGTTCATTTCTTTTTACTGCTGAGTAATAGTCCATGCTATGAATGTAATGTTTTATTTAACATTCAGTATTTGTAGGATATTTAGTTCTTTGCAGTTCTTGGCCATTACAAATAAAACTGTTATGAACAATTGTACACAGGGCTTTGTGTGGAAGTAAATTTTCATTTCTCTGGGATAAATGCCCCGGAGTGTGATTGATAGATGATATGTTAGTTGCATGTTTAGTTTATTTATTTTTTTTAAGTTTATTTATTTGTTTTGAGAGAGAGAGAGGGAGAGAAGCACGAGCAGGGGGAGGGACAGAGAGAAAGAAGAGAGAGAAAATCCCAAGTAGGCTCCATGCTGTCAGTGCAGAGCTTGACATAGAGCTCAGTCTCACAAACTGTGAGATCATGACCTGAGCTGAAATCAAGAGTCGGATGTTTAACCAGCTGAGCTAGCCAGATGCCCCCTTGCATGTTTAATTTTAAGACACTTGCAAAAATATAAAAATAAAGGACACTACCAAACTGTTTTCCAGAGTGACTCTACCATTTTATACATTACCAGTAATATATGAGAGATCCAGTTCCTCTGCGTGCCTTGACAGCATTTGATCTTTCTATTTTAAAATTTTTTAACTCTTTTCATAGGTATATAGCATTATCTCATTGTGATCTTAAGTTACAACTCCCTGAACTGTTAGTGATGCTAAACATCTTTTCATATGCTTACTTACCATCTGTATATTCTTTTTGGTGAAATGTCTGTTCATGTACCTTGCCCATTTTCTAACTGGATTTTTTGAGAGTTCTTTATAAATTCTAGATATATAGAGTCCTTTATTGGATATGTGGTTTACAGATATTTTCTTCCCGTCTCTGGATTGCCCTTGTCTTTTCATCCTTTTCACACGAGCTTTTTTCCCCCCCTACATGAGCTTTCGGAGATCGAATGTCTCCAATTTTGATGAAATCCAATTTACTGATTTTTGTGGATTATGCTTTTGGTGTCATGTCTAAGAACTTGTCCCCAAGTCCTGAAGATTGTCTCTTACATTTTCTACCATTTTTATAGTTTTACTTCTTAGATTTACATTTATGATACATTTTGAATGGACTTTTATGTAAGGTGTGAGGTTTAGGTCAATAATTTTTTTTTCCTATAGCTGTTCATTGCTTTACCACCAAGTATTGAAAAACTGACCTCCCTCCATTGAAATGCTTTTGCACCATTGACAAAAATCATTTAGCTGTACTACTGTAGGTCTATTTCTGTGTTCTTTCTTCTATTCTATTGATGTATGTGTCTGTTCCTCTACCAACACCATACAATCTTGACTACTGTAGCTATGTAAAAAGTCTTAAAATGTAATAGCATGGTTCCTTCCACTTTATTCCTTTTCAAACTTGTTTTTTAGCCATCTTAGTTTCTTTGCCTTCCCGTATAAATTTTAGAATACTCTATCTTTACAAACTGTCATTCTGATATTTTTATAGGAATTGCATGAAACCCGTATGTCAGTTTGTCTAACATCTTTATTATGTTGAATTGTCCAGTCCATGAACATGATGTTTCCTCCTTTATTTAAGACTTTTTTGACTCCTTTCAGCAGTGTTTTGTAGTTTTCAGCATAGAAGACCTGAACATATTTTGTTAGATTTATACCTAAATATTTTATTTTATTTTTTTTTTATTTTTAAAAAAAATTTTTTTTTTATGTTTTATTTATTTCTAGGAGAGAGAGAGAGAGACAGCATGAGCAGGGGAGGGTCAGAGAGAGAGGGAGTCACAGACTGAAACAGGCTCCAGGCTCTGAGCTGGCAGTCAGCACAGAGCCCGACGCGGGGCTCGAACCCACGAACCGTGAGATCATGACCTAAGCAAAAGTCGGACGCTTAACCGACTAAGCCACCCAGGCGCCCCCTAAATATTTTATTTTAAAGATTATAGCTTTATTGAGATCTTTTTTTGGAGTGATTGTAAATGGCATTTTATTTTTAATTTTGGTTTCTATGTGTTCTTGCTAGTTTATAGAAGTACATTGATTTTTGTATGTTGATCTTCTGTCTTACAACCTTGTTGAAAACACATTAGTTCTAGGAGGTTTTTTGGTAGGCTCCTCGGGATTTTTCATGTAGATGATGTTGTCTGCAAATAGCAGTAGTTTTGTTTCTTCCTTTCCTATCTATATGCCTTTTATTTCTATTCTTGCCTTGTTGTACCGAGTAGAACTTCCAGTAATGTGTTGAATACTAGTTGTGTGAGCAGACATCCTTGTTTTTGATTTTAGAGAGAAAGCATTCAGTCTTTAACCATTACGTATGATGTTAACTAGACTTTTTGTAGATGCTCTTCCTCTAATTGAGAAAGTTCACCGCTGTTTGTATTTTCCAGAAAGTTTTATCATGAAACAGGGTTGAATTTTGTCAGACACCCTTTCTGATTAATTGATAACATTTTTTTTTAGCCTGTTAATATCATGGATTATCATGATTGATTTTACTATGTTAAGCCAGCCTTGCATCCTGGAATAAATCTTATTTGGTTATGGTGTCTAGTTCTTTTTATTATATTGCTGATTTCTAGTTGCTAATGTTTTGTTAAGGATTTTCATATATAAATTCGTGAGGATTATTGGTCTGTAGTTTTTCTCGGGTAATAGTAGCTTCATGAAATGAAGGAATTATTTCCACCTCTTTTATTTTTTGGCAGAGATTGTACGTGATTGGTGTTAATTTCTTTTTTGGTGTTTGGTAGAATCCTCCAGTGAAACCATCTGGGCTTGGAGATGCCCAGTTTTCAGCAGTTTCAAAATTACAAATGAATTCTTTCTTAATAAGAAATTTAGTTATAAGATTGTTTAAATTACCGATTTCATATTGGGTTGAATTGTGGTAGTTAGTGTTTTTTGAGGAATTGACCATTTTAACTACATTGTCAGATTTATGGGTGTAAAGTTGTTTATAGTATTCCATTATTATTAATTTTTTTGATGTCTGTAGTATCTATAATGATACTTCCTATCTGATTCTTGATGTTAATAATATGTCTCTTTTCTATTTTTTTTTATTTGTTGTTTTGGTAGAGATTTGTCAATGTTGTTGATCTTTTCAAAGGACTAAGATTTTATCTCCTTGATTTTCTCTATTACTTTTTCTGCTTTTAGTTTCATTGATTTATATTATTTCCTTCCTCCTGCCTCCTTTGTGTTTTTTGTTTGTTTGTTTTCGTTTTTTGCTCTTTTTCTAGTTTCTTGACATGTGAGGTTACGTTATTATTTTGAGACTTTTCCTCTTTTTTAATGATAGCATTTGGTACAATAAATTTCCCTGTTAGCACTACTTTAGCTGTGTCTCACAAATTGTGATAGATTTTCCTTTTATTCAGTTCAGTGTATTTTAAAATTTCCTTTGAAACTTCCTTTTTGACTCATTGATTATTTAAAAGTGTGTTGTTTAATTTTTGAGTGTTTGGAGATTTTTAACACCTCTCTTTGATTAATTTCTATTTTGATTACTTGTGGTCCCAGAACATACTCTGTACGCATTTTTAAAATTTGTTGAGATTCGTTTTATGGCCCACGTCTATCTTGCCATATGTTTTGTCAGTGCTTGAAAGGAACTCTGTTGTTAGATTGAGTGTTCTATAGATGTTAATTACCTACTTTTGTAGATAGTGTTGTTGAGGTCTTCTATATCTTTGCTGGTTTTCTATCAATTGTTAAAAGAGTGATGCTGAAGTTTTCAACTGTAATTTTATGATTTGTCTATTTCTCCTTTCACTTTATCAATTTTGCCTCACCGATTTTACACCTCTGTTGTTTAGTGCATATACATTTAGTTTTATGTCTTCTTGGTAGATTTATTCTTTTATCATTATGTAATGTTTTTCTCCATCTTTGGAAATTTGCTTTGAAGTCTGCTTTATATGACATTAATATAACTTATTCTTTCTTTTAATTAATATTTGCATGGTATATTTATTTCTATTCATTTACTTTCAACCTACCTATATTGTTATATTTGGTGTGCATTTATTTTTTATTTTTATTTTCTTTTAATTTTTTTTAATGTTTTATTTATTTCTGAGAGAGAGAGAGACAGCGTGATCAGGGGAGGGTCAGAGAGAGAGGGAGATACAGAATCCAAAGCAGGCTCCAGGCTCTGAGCTAGCCGTCAGCACAGAGCCCGATGCGGGGCTCAAACCCACAAACTGCAAGATCGTGACCTGAGCTGAAGTCAGACGCTTAACTGACTGAGCCACCCAGGTGCCCCTTGGTGTGCATTTTTTATTTTAAAGAAGTAAATAATTGGATCCTGTCTTTTATCAACTTTATCAATTTCTGTCTTTAATTATGTATTTAGACCATTTACATTTAATATAATCATTAATATATTAGGCCTTAAGTATGGTCTTTTATTTTTTGTTGTCTATTCTTTTTTTTTTAAATTGTTTTCTTCTTTTATTTTTAATATGAAACACTTCATGAATTTGCATGTCATCCTTGTTCAGCCACCATGCTAATCTTTTCTGTATCATTCCAATTTTTAGTATATGTGCTGCTGAAGTGAGCACTAAAATTCTGTTTTCTTTTTTCCTGCATTCCTGTGAATATTTCAGACATCTTTTAGAATCCCATTTTTATTCATATATGGTGTTTTTGAATATATCTCTTTGTATAGCTTTTTCATTGGTTGCTCTAGTATACGCCTATGTACATATGTATACATGTCTACTTATACATGCACATATGTATATCTACATTTGTACATATTTATGATTTATCAGTTTCCTGGAGACAGCATTTTACCATTTCAAGTGAGACATAGAAACTTTACCTGCCTTTACTTCTCTGTACCCCTCATTTATAATTGTCTTAAATATTTTCTCAAAATACATTGAGAGTATCAGAAATGTTCTAGTTATTGCTTCAACCACGCAACATAACTTACGAAACTCATGAGGAGAAGGATAATCTATTGTATTTTCCCATGTTTTTACATTTCTGAGTTTTTTTCTTTTTTTCCCAGCGTTCCTTCTTGTATCGTATCCTTTTGATTTAGAGAACTTCCTTTAGCCATTCTCTTAGTGCAGGTGTGCTGGCACAAATTCTTTTAGTGTTCTTCATCTAAATATGTTTTAAATTTCCTTTCATTTTTGAAAGATATTTTTGCTAAAAATACAGAATTCTTAGTTGGCAGTCCTTTTCTTTAGCACTTTAAAAATGTGCTTCCTGGGGTGCCTGGGTGGCTCAGTTGGTTAAGCGTCTGTCTTCAACTCGGGTCATGATCTCACGGTTCGTGGGTTCGAGCCCTGCGTCGGATTCTGTGCTGTCTGCTAGCTCACAGCCTGGAGCCTGTTTCAGAATCTGTGTCTCCCTCTCTCTCTGACCCTCCCCTTCTCACGCTCTCTCTCTCGCAGAGGTAAATTAAATGTTAAAAAGAAATTTTTTTAAAGTTCTTCCGTTTGGCCTCCATGGTTTCTGTGAGAAATTTGCTGTTGTACTAATTGTTTTCTCCCCTCTGTAAGATCATGGTTTCTATTTTTTGCTGCTTTCAAGATTTTTTCTGTCTTTAGTTTTCTTAAGTTTGTTTTGTTTATTGGCATGTATTTCTTAGGTTTATCCTTTCTGAGATTTATTCTTTTTGAATCTGTTGCCTTATGTCTTTTGCCAAATTTGGAAAGCTTTCAGACATTTCTTTGAATACTTTTCAGTCCTTCCCTCTTTCTCCTCTCCTCCAGGACTCCAGTGACATGTGTTAGAGGATTTGTTATAGTCCCATAGTCCCTGAAGCTCTGTGTAATATTTTTAAATCTAGTTTCTCTCAGATTGTTCAAATTAAGTAATTTTTAACATGTCATTCATGTACACAATGGGATACTACATGGCAATGAGAAAAGTGAAATCTGGCCATTTGTAGCAACATGGATGGAACTTGAGGGTGTTAAGCTGAGCAAAATAAGTCAGGCAGAGGAGGACAGATACCATATGTTTGCACATATAGGTGGATTAGGAGGAACTTAACGGAGGACCATGAGGGAGAAGGGGAAAAATAGTTGGAGAGAGGGAGGGAGGCAAACTATGAGAGACTCTTGAATGCTGAGAACAAACTAAGGGCTGATGGGGGTGGGGGAGTGGGGAAGGGGGGTGATGGGCATGGAGGAGGGCACTTGTGGGGATGAGCACTGGGTGTTATATGGAAACCAGCTTGACAATAAACTATTTAAGAAGAAAAAACAAATAATTTTTATGTTCTGTCTTCATGTTTACGGATTTGATTCCTTCTTCTGTCCCCTCCATTTTTCTGTCTTCATGTTTACGGATTTGATTCCTTCTTCTGTCCCCTCCATTTTGCTGTTGAGCTCATCTATTGAGTTTTTTACTTCAGTTATTGTATTATTTTTACATTCTAAAACTTCCATTTGGTTCATTGTACCTTTCTGTTTCTTTGCTGAAACTTTTTATTTTTCATATGTTTCAAGTGTGTTTATATTGCTCATTGAAGCATTTTTATGATGGTTATTTTAATTTTATTAAAAAAATAAAAAAATTTTATTGTTTATTTTTTTATTTTTAAAAATTTTTAATGTTTTATTTATTTCTGACAGAGAGAGAGAGAGACAGCGTGAGCAGGGGAGGGTCAGAGAGAGAGGGAGACACAGATTCCAAAACAGGCTCCAGGCTCTGATCTAGCTGTCAGTACAGAGCCCGATGCGGGGCTCAAACCCATGAACCATGAGATCATGACCTGAGCTGAAGTCAGACACTTAATTGACTGAGCCACCCAGGCGCCCCAGTTTATTTATTTTTGAGATGGAAAGAGACAGAGTGGGAGTGGAGAAGGGGCAGAGAGGCAGACACAGAATCCAAGGCAGGCTCCAGGTTCTGAGCTGTCAGCACAGAGCCAGATGTGGGGCTTGAACCCACAAATCGTGAGATCATCACCTGAGCCAAAGTCGGATGCATAACTGACTGAGCCACCCAGGCACCGTTATGATGGTTACTTTAAAGTCTATCATCATGATGGACACTTATTCAATTTGAGATTTTCCTGGTTCTTAGTGTGATCAAGGGTTTTTATGAAAACCTGGACATTTGGGGTGTTATGTTATGAGATTCTGGATCTTATTTCGATCTGTTTTAGTTGGCCTTTGTTGATACTGTGTTAGCAGGGTGGTGGAGGTACTAACTCATTACTTTGAGGTGGGAGTAAAAGTTCAGGTTTCCCCACTGGGCCTCTTCTGGCTCCCTAAGGAGAAGGGGATTTCTGTCTCCTTAATGATACAATGGGAGAGGCTGGCTCTTTACTGCTTATAGTTCCCTACCGGATCTTCTCTGACACTCTGGCAGTGTGGAGAGTTGGTGGGGACACCACATCACTGCCAGGCAAGAACAGAAGTCCAGGCACTTAGTTCAGCCTTTGTTGTGGGTGTATGATGGCTGCAGTTTTTCTGTGGTGTTTGACTGGAGTAAAATGTTTTTGTCTAAGACTTTTCTGTTTTGCTAGGCTGCACGCACCTTTCCTGGTGCTTTGGCTGGAGACAGCAGGCTCTTTTTCATTGTCGGGGCTTTTTTTTTTTTTTTTTTTTTTTTTTTTGCCTACATTCATTGGCATTTCTGAGTTGCCAGCTTCTCCAGCACCAAGAGTAGGATAACTGAAGCAAAAAGAAACTGAGCAAACTCACAACTGTGTCATTCCTCAGGTTTCAAAGTCCCTAGCCAATCTGCTTGCCTCTCTCCACCTTTCAGGTGTTTATGTTTTTTTGCATATAGTGTCCATAGTATTTATACCGCTATTAGTGGGAATAGGAAAAAGCCCTTCAACTCTATCTTTCAGAGGCAAAAGCCCCCAGTTCATTGTTTTTTGAGCAGTGGTCAGATCTCTTATTCGAGTAAAGACCTTCTCATCATAGTTCATAACCTGAATTTGCAAATATCAGCTCCCTAAGTATGCAGAGCTCTTACCAGGCACTGTGAGTACACAAAGATACTTTGCTCCCTATTTGTATTACATTTTTTTACAAATACATTTTTAATCTTTTACAATACAGAGTACATTTTCACAAAGGAAAAAAAATGTTGTTTCTGTTCTTGGACTCTAACACAGCAGTGTGTAAAACCCCTCCACCTCTCGTCCTGTGTGTTCATACACTCATATGTGTACACAAACACAGGTAACACTTAATATCACAGCGTCCCCTTCGTTTAAGCATAAGAAGGAATTTTAAATATCTTAAATGGATGTGGGTTTCACTAGTTTTCAGTACTAATAACTTGGGAGAACTGACCAACAGTTTTATTTATCTTGAATGCTATTGTTCGAGGAAAAGCAGGTTTGATCACCAAAAGGATCTTGTGGGTCAAGTAGAGAGCCTGAGGTGAGGTTTGTGTCTTTCAGCAAGTGGTAGAAGAGTGGTAGAACTGGTTCTTAGATTACTATCGCTTGGAAAGGTCACTCTTTTCCTTTTTTTGGTTTATTACAATACCTGACACATGGAAGGCACTCTATAAAAACAGCACTAGAGAGGATATTTGGGGATTGACAGTTAGAATACATACATATTGCTTCCCTTCACAGAGCAGAGAATTTAGTCAGCCCCCTAAGCAGTGTCTTTCATATTTTGCCTTGAGGTGTCTCTGTCCAGTCTCTGACTCTCTTTGTGTCTCACTGATTCATTCTCTCTCTCTCTCTCTCTCGCTCGCTCTCTCTTTTTAGGCAAGGTGTGCGTGGGGGGGAGGGAGGGCTCAGTGTCTTTATATTCTTTCTCATCTAGTAGTCTTCTTAGAAAGTCTTCATTACAGGTATTCTTTTTTTTTTTTTTTTTTGAGAGAGAGAGTATACACATGCAAGTGGAGACCAGCAGAGGAGGGGCAGAAGGAGAGGGAGAGAGATTCATGCCCAGCACAGAACCCAGCTCAGAGCCCATCTTGGGGGCTTGATCTTACAACCATGATATCATGGCCTGAGCCAAAATCAAGAGTTGGATATTTAACTGACTGAGCCACCCAGGTGCCCCTTAATTACAAGTATTCTTCAGCACCCCTCTACATGCATTGCAGAACAGCTGAAGCTTGCATTCACCCAAATAACACTGTTCTCAAGGTAGCAAGAAAGTTGTAGTTCTTGTTTTGCTCCTAAGGCCTGGTCTCAAGTTAATCTTCTAGTCTTCCCCTGCCTCTATCAGGGCTTTGTGCCTGTAAGTCTTTAAAAAATTATTTCTAGGGGCGCCTGGGTGGCTTAGTCGGTTAAGCATCCGACTTTCGCTTAGGTCGTGTACTCGCGGTTCGCGGGTTCGAGCCCCACATCGGGCTCTGTGCTGACTGCCAGCTCAGAGCCTGGAGACTGTTTCAGTCTGTGACTCCCTCTCTCTCTGACCCTCCCCTGCTCACGCTCTCTCTCTCTCTCCCCTAGAAATAAAATAAATAAATAAATAATTTCTAAATTAAATATTTCAAACATTCACAAAAGTATAAGTTCATGAGATCAGCCTCAATACACCCAACCCCTGCTGACCTCTCTGGTGCCAGAGGCCTCAGCGTTGGCCACGCAGCTAGGGTACAGCCGGCACAGCCCACAGGCAGTTGGCAAGGATCTGCCAGCAGTGCTGGGAACTTAGCAGTTTGGTGTGTGGAGGTATTTTTCCTGAGGCATTTCACATGTTTACTCCTGAATGGAAAGTGTGGGGAGATGGGACACATGGACTTTGTAGCATCTGTTGGCTAGTAGGCTAAGTTTTCTTTCAGCTTTGTCTTGTTTTTATACCACTGCAGTCTCTTCATGGGTAAAATGGGAATCATTATTCATTTCTGCATTTCAGATATGGTCTTTATTCTTAGAACCTACACTTAGGTAATGGAAATGATGAATTAGTAAAATAGGTAACAAAGAGCTAAGTTCTCTGAGAATTCGTAGGGGGTGGAAGTACATCCGGCTAGACAAGTCTGGCAAGGGGTCATGGAGAGGGTGCCTGTGGATGTGGATATGGGGAGATCAGAGGAGGAGCAGACAGAGGAAAAGAATCCACAGAGGCACAGAGGTGAAGAGAGGAGTGTGCATCATGGGGGTTCCCCTTTCCTACTGCTCATAAGAGTTGAGAGGCCAAATAAGGTTACGTATTTGGAGTTCTTTGAAAGAAAGGTCCATCAGTGTGTATACCTGTTACCATCTTATCAAGTAGAGGAGCTCATGAACACAATCTGTGAACCAGGATGTGTGGGTGCATGGAGAGACCCATTAAAGCTGCAGTGGCCACCTCACTAAGCCCTGGGTGGGGCTACCACAGCCTTCATGTGTAGGTTATGCCATGTGCAAGCACCTGAGAAGCACGTTGTGCTGATTTGCCGAAACCTCCATGAGGGCCCAAGATCTGTTTCCTTCTGTTTCTTAATAGTGCCCACATTTCAAGACCAAATATTTAGTATCTTACCATAGTATAACTTGCTGAATGACTTCTTTTAGCCATCTGTAGGGACTCAGTCATCATTTCGAAGACTGGCTTCATAACAAACACCTGCAGAAATTCAGGAGGTCATGCTATACTCCCTCAGTTCCAGTTTTGCCTTCTGTTCTCCTTGCCACCAGCCTCAGGTTGGATGCTCAGAATCCCTCCACGGCATGTGAGGACAAGACAAAACTGCTCAGCACCGACCTCCCTGGGTGACCTGACATGAATAGGTCACTGGATCCCATCCCTGCTGCTTCAGCGTCTGGTGCTTCCTGTCCCTCTGGGGTCATCTTGCTGCCTCTGTCCTGCTACCCACTGTCATTACTGTGGCTCCTGAGCCTTTTGGGCGCTGCTTCCTTGTTTCTCTCTCCCTCATCCTGGTTGGTATAATTCTGGAAAGGGAGAGCTTCATTAGAGAGAAGGAAGAGGAGGATTACAAGTGAAGAAGAGACAGGAAGAAAAATGAAGGGGGGAAGACAGGGAGTGACATAGCTGTAGAGGCCAGGGAAGTAACAATAAAGGCAACATTTGCATTTACAGTGGGGGTGAGGGTGAAACAGCCAGAAAAGACGTTTCAAGGGCAGGGGGCATCTCTCACCATCATCTGCCTTCAGTAACAAGGTGCCTTTGCTTTCCTCAGGTGTCCTCATGACTTCCCCTGCAGACCATGTCTATGATCCTTTTTGCCTGTGTGGTGAGGGTGAGGGATGGACTGCCCCTCTCGGCCTCCACTGACTTTTACCACACCCAGGATTTTCTGGAATGCAGGAGACGGCTCAAGACTTTAGCTTTGCGACTGACCCAGTACCCAGGTAGAGGTTCTGCGGAAGGACATCACTTCAGTATACAGTAAGCAAGCATGTTCGCTCTTCCAGAACATCCGCAAGCTTTGGTTTACTTTTAATCATACGTTGGGGTAACATGAGGTCGATCGTACCTTAGTGTTAAGAGTAGGTCTGCTGTCAGACAGTGGTCTGAGATTTTGTGCATTTGCAGTCATAGAGTCAAGGGAACGCACTGCTCCCACTCCTGCCCTTCTGTTAGAGGGGTTGCTCTTGAGCATCCGGGTTCAATCAGTTTTCATGCCTGTAGTTTGGTAGTTTATTCTGCATTAGATGGAGGGGTGGAAAAGCTGAGGAAAGGGAGAGTCTAGAGTATAATGTCAGGGAAGGGAAAGGGGAAAAGTAAAAATGCCAAGAAAACAAAAGATTTCTACTTCTTGCCTTTAGTTTTTACTTTTTAAATTTTTCACCTTTTTGGTTTTTAAATTTAAAAATTAATTTTTTTTTTAATGTAACAGAGCAGGGGTGTGAAAAATGAGCACAAGTAGGCCCCTTTTCTAATGGAACTTAAAGGCTAAGGAGGGAACAAGAGAGATATCTAACTGAATATAATACAGTGAGGAAAATGCTCTGGTGGAAGTAGGAATCAAGTGGTTACAATAATCCTAGTAATAAGAGCTAGTACTGTTGGTGCTTTCTGTATGTCAGACACTGTTCTAAGTGCTTTATTGGCTTGTTTATTGGTGGGTGATAGTATTATATACCTGAGGTGAAGTGACTTAGCTGACGTTGTGCTGTTAGTAAGTGGTAGGGCCTGGACTTGAATGCAGGTTACTGGGCCCCAAGGGCTGGTCCTCATGTGTTCTGTCATTTCTTATTCAAGAAGCTCAGGGCTCAGGGACTAGACAGGTTTTGAAATATCAAAAAAGCTTGTCATAGATTTTATGTCATTGTTTTTGATTATTTAGGCCCTCACTTACCAAGTTCCTCCTGCTCCCTTTGAACACTACATTTTTAGTTGACCTGATAAGGTAGAGTCCTTTTAGAGAAATTCAGTCTCAGAATCAGAAAAACAAAAGAGGCCGCGCTTGACTTGGGGCTTGCTGGTGTCGTCCGGCAAGAAGGGACTGGCCTGAAGGGGGCGCCAGGTAGCTGTCACCCTGTGCTGGGGGCTCTGGGGGCTCAGGAGCTACAGCTGAGCTGCCTCTGCCTGCATTTGTGCCTCCTTTCTTTGGGTGCCCAAAACCACCGTCCTTCATGTCCCTCCCTCCTTATGCTCTGATTCTCTTAACACCATGTGGGATCTTGGTGCCGCACCTCAAGCCTTTTCTCTGTTAAGAAAAAAAAGGCTTTGACTTCAAATGAAATTCTGGGTGCTTCAGTCATTTTTTGAAAACTAGAATACAAAACGTTCTGCTCATTTGTATTTTGAATTAAATATTCACCATTATTTTCACAAATAAAACTGAAGTGTTTTTTGTTTGTTTTGTTTTGTTGTACGAGTGGGCAGTACTATAGCTTATTTTATAGTTAAGGAGTTGAGATATTTTCCTATGGCTACTGTAACAAATTAAAACAACAGAAATTTATTCTCTCACAGTCCTGGGGCCTAGCTAGAAGTCTAAAATCAAGATGTACGCAGGGCCTTGCTGTCTTGGAGGCTCTAAGGAAGACTCCTTCCTATGCCTCTCTACTGCCTTCTAGTGGTTACTGGCAGTCTTTGTCATTCCATGTCTTGTAGAAGAGTTATTCCAGTCTCTGCCTTCTTGGTTACATGGCCTTCTTCCCTCTGTCTCTATAGCCAAATTTCACACTGGTCATTAAATGGAGGCCTACCCTAATTTATTATAATCTCATCTTATCTTAATTGTATCTGCAAAGACTATTTCCAAATAAAGTCATATTCACGGGTACTGGGAGTTAGGACCTTGTCATATTTTTTGGAGACACAAGTCAGCCCACAAATAGGGGCTTCTGGAAAATTCCTTGTATAAGGAGGAGGTTATCATTTTTTAATTGACAAAGTTTTTATATAGAGACTTCTACTGATAGAACAATATAACCATAAAACTCTTTTCCAGAAACATTCTGAATTGCAAGTAAATGTACATGAGAAATTGTTTTAAATGTGTAACTGAGCTTCAAATAAAGAATTCCCAAGGTGCCAGAAATGAAGGGGAACAGAGTATCAGGGTGTGGTAAGTGTGTGAGCTGACACCGAGGCTTCCGGTAATCAGTCAGTCGTAAACTCAGGGCTTGAGTTTCAGCACCCATAAAGGGAGAGGCCCTTGGATTTGAGTTGTTGCAACAGGACCCATGCATGAAGAAGGGATTATTGTGAGGCCACGCACAGTCCAGATGGAATGACAATACATGAGAAGTAGCTGCCCACCAGTACAGAGGTAGCTCATCTCTACTTGGCTTTGAATGAGAAGGAAAAACCAATTCTCATCTAAGAAATTGGAGCCCAGCTTCTGTGCCTTCTGTAGGATTGGAGTTGAAGTTTCTACTCCCCATGGCCTAGGGATTCCTAACCAAGGTTCAGCTTTCATTTAGTCCCAGACTGATGACACTCCTGGAGTAGCTGGCCAAACAAATGGAAAACCACCCTGGAAGACGTGTGCCGCAACTCAGTCCTTGAGAGATTCTTACAGAAAGAAAAAAAAAAAAAGCCAAGAAGCTCCATGCTGGTGCCCTCTCACCAAAATTTACAGAACATCGAAGGAGATATTCTAGAATGAGTGTGAGTCAGGAGACACCACGGATAGGAGAACTTGAGTCCCCAGAACTTGCAGTGATAGCATGACATTCTGAAAAGTAGTAGAAAAAGGAGAGAGCCCTGCATTTATTTTATGAGACCAGAATAACCCTAATAGCACAAGCAGATAAAGATCGTACAGGAAAGGGAAAGCACAGGCCAGTCTTACTTTGCACAGACACAAAAATCCTAAGTAAAATCCAAACTATATCCAGTAGTTGTGTGTATGTGCATCTGTACAAACTCACAACCAAGAAGACTTTATTTCAGGATGGCAGGATGATTCAACATTAGAAAGCTATTGATGTGGATTAAAGAAAAAAAATATTTTCCTCAATAGATGCAGAGAAGTCTGAGGCTACTTCTCCCTCACAAAACATGCATCCTTCATGCACAAATCAGTAGGAGTGATTGCACGCTGTCGGTGGCAAATAAGTGCTCTCTATTTTAATTTATTTACTTTTAGCTTTTTTAAATGTTTTATTTATTTCTGAGAGAAAGAGAGTATGAGTAGGGGAGGGGCAGAGAGAGAGACACATACAGAAGCAGGTTCCAGGCTCTAAGCTGTCAGCACAGAGCCTGATGTGGGGCTCAAACTCGTGAACCACGAGGTCATGACCTGAGCGGAGTCGGACGTGTAACCAACTGAGCCACGCAGGCACCCCAGTGCTCTCTATTTTAGAGGAAGGACAAGAAAGTCCTAGGAAGGTCCAGCTGAAGGGACTATATACATGCAGCAAACAACTCCAGGACTGTTCAAGGTCAAGGAAGAGCAGGGCAGAGATGCATTGTTGTATCTGAATATGGGACAGGAATACGTGGGTCTGTTCCTGGTAATGGAGATGTTGCCCTTTTGTTTCAGTTTCTCTTCGTTGGGAGATGTGGCTTGCATGGCTATCTGCTCCCACCAGTGTCCAGCGGCCATGGCCTTCTGCTTCCTGGAGACTGTGTGGTGGGAATTCACAGCTTCCTATGACACCACCTGTATTGGCCTAGCCTCCAGGCCATACGCCTTTCTTGAATTTGGTTTGTAACCCTCTTTCTTATTTACTGTTCTCTCTTATGGCATTGTATGTGTAGAATTTATGGTTTAGATTTGGCTTTGACCATCAAGGAAAACCCCTGGAGGTCCTTTGACATGTCACTGCAGATTGGTTTTGTACCATGAGATTTCTGTGATTGGAGTGGGCTGGAAAGCTTCAAGGTTTAACACTGGCTCTTTATCTCTTCAGAGCCTGAGGCAGGGTTGGGGAGTATGAAACTTGTATCAGTTACTTATCACAGCCTTCTGTAGCAGGGGTCAGCAAACTGGTCCAAGGGCCAGCTGCCCCCCGCCCCCTTTTTTTTTTTTGTAAATACACTGGAACCCAGCTATATTCATTCTTTCATGGGTCGCCTGTGGCTCCTTTTGCCCTTCCCCAGCAGAGTTGAGTAGTTGTGACAGAGACCATATGGGGCCTAGAAGCCTCAAATATTTGCTACTTGGCAGCTTAAGAAACTTTGCTAAGCCCTGCTTCAGTGCTGTACTACCCAAAGGGTGGTATGAGAATTTGTTCTTCTATCATGAGGTAGGTACGGAAAGTGAGAATGAGTGTGTCCAGAAAATCAAATGGTAATTTGACATGCCTGCAGTCTTTTTTATTGTATTTTATCAAAGAATCAGTCTGCAACCATTTGGAAATAAGAAAAACGAAATAATAAATAAATAATAAAAAACTTTTACTCAAAAAGATCTGAGAAATACTGCCCTGGAAGAGGCGCTGCCAGAGAGGCTTGTAGAGGCTCAGAGGCTGTGGAGCCCAGCATGATAACTGTAGTGCATGCTTTCTTTTCCTCAGGTGGGAGTCAGGTCATCTGAGCTCTTGGGAGAACTTAGAGGTGGGAGTTGGGGGGCATTCTGTGGCCTGTATGTAAACTAGCTGCTGTCTCTGTGATGCCCTTGAACATGGGGCTGGCAGCCATCGGTACGAAGGGTCAGGTGCAGAGAAGTATTGCCACGTGTGCTTCCTGGCAGTACCGCCATAGCCCTCCTACTCCCTCATTTGGTCCACCGGCTGGTGCATTTTGTTGTCACCCAAAGCTGCTGGGGAACTCCCTGGTACTCAGGCCTCTACCAGGTAGATCTGTGATGTAGACAGAGTTCTCCCCAGGTCTCCCTGTGAGGCCTAGTCCACCACTGCTCTCAGCCCCACTTCTTCCTACAAAGAGGGCACGCTGGCCTTGGCTGGCAGTGGGTATGAACGTGGACCATGTTCTTCTCCCCCCTTGGCTCTGCATGTGCCTTCCTTCTAAAGTGGTATGCTTGTTCCAACAGCAGACCCTGCCCCGGTGTCATGTTTTCTCACCACTGAGTTAGAGTAGACTATAACAGTAGCTATTAGATACCGGCATTGTACATAATTTTCCTTTGCCAATATGGATAAAACTCTAAATGCTTATTACAACTTGGTAATCAATTAATACTAAGACAAACAAAACAATTAAAATTAATATCTTTCAAATATATCATTTTAGTTTGCATAATATATTCACATTTATTTGTAATTTTTTCCTCCCGTACCTTTTCTGAGGTAATTCGTTCGAGAATACCTGTCTCCCCTTTTGAACCTCATTCTGTGAACTGCCCAGGATTGTACTTCCAGCAGTGGCTTAGACTCAGGCCCCTGTCCCTTGACTCCCTTGTCACTGAGGTTCTGGGAAGCATTGTTGCCTTCTCTGTAGACAGTTGTACTGAAGAGACTGATGAGACGAATAGTGACACACAGTGGTCATCTGACCTTCAGGTGTATCCTGACAGTCTCAGAATCTGGCTGACTTACTAGCTTGCTCAGAAAGGTGATCTTCATTTTGCACATATTGTTCTGTAATATCTGTTCTGATGCAACTTGGGTTGCTCTCTTTTTGCAGATAGCATCATTCAGAAAGTGAAGTGGCATTTTAACTATGTAAGTTCTGCTCAGATGGAGAGCAACTTAGAAAAAATTCAGGAGGAGCTTGAGTTCCAGCCTCCAGTGGTTCTCACTGTGGAGGACACAGATGTGGTGAATGGGATAATGAACGGTCACACACAGATACACGTGGAGCCTGGTGAGTGGTTTTCTGTTATCTGATGTTGATGAAGATGGTTAGGTATTTCAAATGTACATTGGCTTTTTTTTTTTCCTACCAGGGAAGTGTTTTTTAGGGAATGAGTGTATAAAATATGTCTGGAAAATAAGGACTGATCCAGGTGACTGTTAACGAAAAACTTGTCTGTGTGTCGATCTGAGGTGGAGGCAACTCTTCTCTCTCTATTTTTTCCTTTGATAATGAATCCTGTCTCATCTTAGCACTTAGTGAAACATTGCACATCTCCACTGAGAACCCTGTGCCCTCCTTGATGGAAGGAGGGAAGGGCCATGCAGATGAGAGTGGGCAGGGGATGAGAGTGGGCGGGGCCAGAGCCAGGCTTCCCCTGAGCCCTGGGGACATCCCTGCAGATTTCTGAGCCAAGTGCCCTGGCATTCCGGGACTTAGTCTGCCATTAAGACCATTACGCACTCAATGCCCAGCATGTAACAAAGCATGATTTTTTTATTCCTTGTTTATAATTATCACAATTAAACCAATTTTTTTTTTATTTTTTTTTTTAATGTTTTATTTATTTCTAGGAGAGAGAGAGACAGCGTGAGCAGGAGAGGGTAAGAGAGAGAGAGGGAGTGACAGACTGAAACAGGCTCCAGGCTCTGAGCTGGCAGCCAGCACAGAGCCCGACGCGGGGCTCGAACCCACAAACCGCGAGATCATGACCTAAGCGAAAGTCGGACGCTTAACCGACTAAGCCACCCAGGCGCCCCTACAATTAAACCAATTTTTAATGAAAATGGATATTTACCTTCTAAGCATTCTATAATGGTGTAAGAGCTGAATCCTTTGAAAGATAAGAGTTGTCTACACTATAACAGTCTAATTTTTTTTAAGTCTAATTATTTTGTTTTAATAGTTTTTATATTAAAGTCATTGCTTGAATTTTAAAAGTTGTGTATTTAAAACGTTCACATTTTTGGGGGTGCCTGGGTGGCTCAGTCGGTTAAGCATCCAACTTTGGCTCACGTCATGAGCTCGCGGTTCGTGGGTTCGAGCCCCGCGTCGGGCTCTGTGCTGGCTGCCAGCTCAGAGCCTGGAGCCTGTTTCAGTCTGTGTCTCCCTCTCTCTCTGACCCTCCCCTCCTCACGCTGTCTCTCTTTCTCTCCTAGAAATAAATAAAACATTAAAAAAAAAAAAGAAAACAAATTTTTTTTTAATGTTCACATTTTTGGCCTAACTTTGTGTTTTGATTTAATCTATTTAAATCTGAACCAAATATATTCCTGGATTGGCTTTCATGCCAATCAATAAGTTGTAATTTATACTGACAAGGAACTTAACTTTTACGGAAGAAAGACTGGGTAGTTGAGCCCCAAGCTTCTTCTTTTGCCATATGTAAAAATGGAGTGACTCTGTAACATGTGTTTTGTTTTTCAATCACTTAGACAAGAGGAGTAAAATCCAGAAAATATCAACTTGCTTATCTTTCTAGGACATTTTACTGTGGTTTGACTCACCCTATTGTCCTGAGGCTAGAATCTTTACAGGTAGCATGTTCTGATCAACAAGAGCTTTGATAGCTCAGTGGAAATTCTAACACACTAACCATATACATCACTTGGGTTGTGGCTAGATGTGTGTGTGTGTGTGTGTGTGTGTGTGTGCGCGTGTGTGTGTGAAATGTCAGGACAAGAAGGGATGATTTAAAAGATCGTACCAAGAGAATGGGGGCAAGGTGTTGGACATTTAATGGTCCGAACCACAATCAGTCTTATTAGTTATCTTTGAAGAAAGAACGATCATTTGTTCTAGAGCTCCAAAAACAGATTGTAGCTTGAGTAATCAGTGTTTTCTTCCTCTTCCCAGTTATTTTAGAATTTAAAAAACTGCCTTTGCAGCACATTGCCCCAGAAGCCCATGAGACACTGAATACTGTCCTTGTTTAGAAGCTGAGAGTTGAAGTGTATAGTAGAAATGCTCTCAGTTTGACAATCCATTTACAAATAAAGCCACAAATTACTTTACATCAGGTTTTCTCAGCCTAAGCCATACTGACATTTTGTACTGGATAATTCCTTGTTGTGAGGGGCTGTCTTGTGCATTGTAGGATGCTTCGAATCATTCCTGGCCTCAACCCACTAGATGCCAGTAACACCCTGTTTTTAGTTTTGACAACCCCAGGTATCTCTAGGCATTGCCAGTTGCCCACTGAGGGGCCAATCGCCCCTCTCTGAGAACCAGTGCTTTAAGGAGAAAGAAAATCAGGCCTGGTAAAACCTGTGCTTAACTCAGCGACAGGCCTCTTGCTGAGAGAAACTCACTTTGGATTCCCAGATCCATTCTGTCCTCCATTTCTTGCCTTTTTACCCTCTAATTGCAGCTGCTTTTAATTAATATGTTTGTAATTCTGTGTTTAACATAATGAGTCTATTATTAGTGGAGATCTAGTTAATGTCTTTGTTTATTTTTCTTTCATATAGAAATTATTTTCACTAGATACTTATTTTTTTTAATTGTGAAGCTCCTAATTTCCGAATGGAGCCAGTGACAGCCTTGGGTGTCCTCTCGCTCATTCTCAACATCATGTGTGCTGCTCTGAACCTCATCCGTGGGATTCACCTCGCAGAACATTCTCTCCAGGTACCCTTTGTTTTCATAGTTTAATTTGAAGGACCTATAATGACAGAAACTGAGGGGGAGACACTTTATTTGTAAGGTTATTATGTACATAGGTTTTAACAGTTTAATTAAAATAATTTTTATTTTAAAGTTTACTCTCTTTAAAAATTTTTTTTAATGTTTTATTTATTTCTGAGAGAGAGAGAGCGCATACATGAGCAGAGGAGGGTCAGAGAGAGAGGGAGATACAGAATCTGAAACAAGCTCCAGGTTCTGAGCTGGCTGTCAGCACAGAGCCCGACGCGGGGCTCGAACCCACGAGCCACGAGATCATGGCCTGAGCCGAAGTCGGACACTTAACTGACCGAGTCACCCAGGCACCCCAAAAGTTTATTCTTTATAGTAAACTGAACAAATATAAAACTTGCTCTTTTGTGTCCATTGTCCCAAGAAGCCAATGGAGCCTGCTGGGGGAATTGGTGAGAAATAGCTTGCTACGGTGACATCCTTAGGGTCCCAGGAGTCACCCCAGGGGCCTGATTGCTCATTGAAGGCAAATCTGATTCTCAGCCTCTGAGGTTTAGGCTGTTTCTGCCTGGGAAAAGTTGCCTCCTAGTCTGATTTATATCATGCAGATGCCACTTACCTATGTCTTTGTCAGAGACCTGTGTCACTAGGAAGTTGATTTGCTGGTCTGCTCAAATCAATGCCTCTTTCTATGTCAGTGCTATTAAAATATTTTTCTAAATTTTGAAGTATGTAAAGCACTTTGAAAAAGTATAGAATCACTGTGGGCATAAGCAGATAGACACTGCTTTTAGAAATAGAGTCAGAATGCTCACCCTGTCTCTCTGGTAGCTAAAGTCTGAAGCATGGCTGATGGTGATCTCAGGAGACTGATGTCGACTGGCCTGTGTGGAGAGTGGCCGCAGGTCCGTGCTGCAAGAGCGGTGACCGCCTGTTACTGTGTCTTGCCTTTGACCAATGTGTGCCGTGTTTCCCACTCTTATTTTTTACGGTTACCCATACCCAGATACTTGCCAAGCATCTGTACACACTAGAACAGTTACATGGCCAATGAAACAGTTAAGATGGGGCATAAGGCAGAGTGTGGTGACATCACTAAGGAGGTAGCAGTACCTGAAGGGTGCAGAATTAGGGAAAACTTAGTGCTGACAGAGGAGTAGGATTTTGAGAGGTAGTAGTGTTGGGGGACATTCCAGCCTGGGGACTTCGTACAGATGCATGGGGACAGGAGGGCATGTGGTCTGTCCAGCTGTTGGAAATAGTTGTATATCAGCCCCAGTTCTGTCATACAAACAGGGGCTACTGTCTCAGTAAGGGAGTTTGTATTATCCACCATACCAGACCCAGTGAGGTGTGAAGAGCTTCATGTCAGTGTTTCCTTTCATCCAAATATTCCTTTTCTTCTGTTTCTTACATTTGTTTTAGGTTGCCCATGAGGAAATTGGAACTATTCTGGCTTTTCTTATTCCTTTTGTAGCCTGTATTTTCCAGGTGGGTGAAACATTGATTTTTTAAAAAATTTTTTTTTAATGTTTTATTTATTTCTAGGAGAGAGAGAGAGAGAGACAGCGTGAGCAGGGGAGGGTCAGAGATAGAGGGAGACACAGAATCCGGAACAGACCCCAGCCTCTGAGCTGGCAGTCAACACAGAGCCCGACGTGGGGCTCGAACCCACGAACCGCGAGATCATGACCTAAGCGAAAGTCGGACGCTTAACCGACTAAGCCACCCAGGCGCCCCGAAACATTGATATTTTGAGTGGGTTGAACCCATGGGCTTATTTTGTTCTTCTGTTAGAACCATGAACGGATTTCTAGATGTGATTTTGTTCCACCAAGGCGTGTCATGGACATACCAGGTCCTTAGTGGAAGGACCCGTGGCCCATCCTGCCCGGTCCTCTCATTTTACAGGGGAACAGCACTGGACTCAAAAAGGGAAAGCCACTTGCCCGAGAGCACGGAGCCTTTGACAGTGGCTGAACAGAAGCCAAGAATTCTTGGACTCAAATTTTAAGAAGGGAGGGATGAGAGTGCTGTGGGGAGTGGGTGGCCTGACTAATGTGAGGCAGGGTCTGCGTATTGTCAGGGCAGTCCAAGTATAGAAATGCCTTCTGCAGAAGGAACAACTACTTGTGTGCGTGTGTGTGTGTGTGTGTGTGGTGTGTGTTGTTTAAAAACAAGACTAGGTAAAAAAAAATTTTTTTAATAGTAATACCATCTGACTCAAATCTGTCCTTAGGAAATGAGACAAACATTACAACATTAACTAGTAGGCTTTCATTACTGTTTAATTATTTTCAATTTTTTAAAAATGTTTGCTTATTTTTGCGAGAGAGAAAGAGTGTATGTGTGAGCTGGGAGGGGCAGAGAAAGAGGGAGACACAGAATCTGAAGCAGGCTCCAGGCTCCAAGCTGTCAGTGCAGAGCTCGACACAGGGCTTAAACTCGAACCTCGAGATCATGACCTGAGCTGCTTAACCAACTGAGCCACTCAGGCACCCCTGATTAATGTTTAGTTATTTTCAAATAAGCTGCCTGCTTACAGGACAGAGTAAAACAGAGCTTTTGACTCCCCTATAGGCAGAGTTCATTCTAGTAAAAAAGAAAACCTGATTTTAATTTTCTTTCCTCACCCTCCACAGAGGCTCAGGTTTTAGTACTTTGTCTACATTCTTAAGCTTTTTTTTCTTTTCCTTTCAATTAAAATTTCTTAAGAACACTTCTGTCTCACGTACATCCTAGAACGGTCTATTTTTTAAGAGTGACATGATTGTGGGAAAAGAAATTTTCAACCCAGGACTGAAAATGCAATTATTTTTTAGAAATCAAGTCTCCAGGGGGCACCTGGGTGGCTCAGTCAGTTAAGTGTCTGACTTTGGCTCAGATCGTGATCTCATGGTTTGCAAACTTGAGCCCCACATCGGGCTCTATGCTGACAGCTAGGAGCCTGGAGCCTGCTTCAGATTCTGTGTCTCCCTCTCTCTCTACCCCTACCCCTCTTGTGCTCTCTCTCTGTCTCTCAAAAATAAATAAATGTAAATTAAAAAACATTTATAAGTCAAGTCTCCAAAACCTTGAGTATTGCCATTTGAAGTGCCAGAGAGCCTGCATTCCAGGGCTGCAGGGATCTTGCACTTTGGCCTTCACTCCCTCAACTGCATTCGTGCTCAGATAGCTCTTTCAGTGGGGAGCTCTCCCTCCCACTGGAGCTTGAGCCTTTAGTGAATTGCTCTGTGTTTTAAGACTGCTTTTCCTTTCTTTTTTTTTTTTTTTTAAACATTGAACCAGAAAGTTACTTTTAACTTTTGCAGACAAGAATGGCCTCTTTTCTGTGTGAATGCCCTACACAAAATGTCAGTCCCTCTCCTTGCTATAAGACCTTTCCCTGTATCAGAGATGCTTTTGAAGACATGATAAGGAGGATGTCTAGGGAACATTGGTCCTTGATGTCATTGTAACTCAGGAAAAACAAATAATGAAAGCATGGCTTCTTTCACTGGCTTTCCCACCTTTTATGACTCCCCAGAAGGAAAAGTCCAGTTGGAGGCCAGTCATTCTTGTTGGGGTATCTTGGCCTGGCTCTCTCTCCCTTACCTACACCTCTTCATTTTTCACAGCCCACAGCCTGGGCATTTCTTTTCTTCCTTTCTTTTTTTTTAATGTTTTATTTATTTCTGAGAGAGAAAGAGAGAGGGAGAGACAGCGTGAGCAGGGGAGGGTCAGAGAGAGAGGGAGACACAGAATCCAAAACAGGCTCCAGGCTCTGAGCTGGCTGTCAGCACAGAGTACGATGTGGGGCTCGAACCCACAAGTCATGAGATCATGACCTGAGCCAAAGTTGGATGCTTAACCAACTGAGCCACCCAGGTGCCCCAGCCTGGGCATTTTTGTCTGTATTTCTTAAACGTTTTAGTATATATGCTGCCAAAGCAAGCACTCTTAAATGTTTTGAGGAGTGTCGTGTTCTAAATCCTCCTGTGACATCTGCTTCACTTTTCTGGTCTCTTCTGAGTCTCCACTTTCATCCAGTGATTTGATTAACAGCAGTTCACCTGGCAAGTCCAGGCTCCATTGTCATGAATTCAGTTTAAGAAGCCACTGTGTGTGAGGTGACACTGCATGTAGATGTAGAAAGTGAATCTCCAATCTGACCTGTGGCCGTTTTCTCCTCTCTGACCTGACTGCCTTTTATGGTGTCATTTCAGTGTTATTTGTACCTGTTCTACAGTCCGGCCAGGACTGTGAAGGTGGTGCTGATGCTGCTCTCTATCTGCCTGGGCAACATGTACCTGCATGGGCTAAGGAACCTCTGGCAAATCCTTTTCCACATAGGAGTGGCCTTTCTGTCTTCATATCAGATACTGACCAGGCAGCTTCAGGAGAAGCAGTCTGACTGTGGAGTTTGAAGAGGACATCGTGTGATGAATGGATCCTTTCATTTCCTTGTGAGAGTCATCTCTGTTTCTCGTTTTGCTTCTCGACTTCACCTCGAGTTTCCATCTTTGAAGTTCCTTTCGACCAAACCAGACCGATACCAAAAGTTGGGGATGTTTAACAGGTGCAAAGGAAAGTGTGAGGTCGCTTGGATACGCAGGCCCAGGTTTGTGCTGGGCATTTCTACAGAATCTCCTGTTCGGCACATTTACGTAGGGCCACAGGATCTGGGGGCTCAGTCAGAAGGAGCATTATTGGAAGGGAAGAATGGACTTATTTTGGTCTTTTACATGGAATGATGCAATAAACCACTAGATTCAATAATACTAGCTTTAGTAACTGGCGGTTGTCCCTGAGGTACCACTTTAAAACCCACATCAGCTTTTCAGTGTAAATGGGACTTGGTTAGTTTTTTTAGAGGGTCAATACAGGGTGAGTTAAACATTGTAAAATATGGCTTATAAATATAAGCTAGATAAATTTTGTTTACATTTTTTGATAACTTAGGTCTGATACAATACCTTTGGAATATTTAAATATATTTTGGATATACATTAAACTTACCTTCATTTGGGGAAAGGACAAACTCAAGCTGAGAAAATGGTTAAGAAAGTTGAGTTTATTTGTATATAACTTTTTATGGTGGTGGGACTGTGTGAGTACAGAAAAGTTTTGTATGTGTGTGCAGGGTATATTTGAATATTTAAAACATTGAGTAACCAGTGCCACTGGATCATAAGCTCTTGAGGATGAGCTTTTAAGCCTGAGGGTTTCAGATTTTTTGCAGTGAGGCCACAGACGGGAGTAGTTGATCACACAGTGGCACTTTATCAATGCAGGTTGTATTTAAAACACAAAAAAACAAAAGCTCTTGTCATCAGCCTAGTACATGGCAGCTGAGTGCCTGTCATGTTAGTGATGATGAATGTCTTACCCTGTGTACCTGTTTCTGGAAGGCCTCCCAAGTTAATTACTCCTCTGCCCCTCTCCCAGTCATCTTAATTAGATTGAGGGCCTTGTTCTTTATGAACAGGAGTTAAGCAGGTGTTAACTTTTTGAAAGCTTCATAAAGATGTAATAAACCCCATGCCCTGAAAAGTTACTCGACTTCTCTCTGTCAAAATAGTGACTGATCATAGTTTTCCAAAATGTGAATCTGTAAAATAAGACACCTCTGGTCTCCAGAAATTTCAGCCTGGGTTGTCCAGTACCACTCAGGAGGCCATTTCAGGAGTTTGCCCTTTGGATTGTTCATTTTTTAAAAATGTTTATTTTATTTTGGGGGGAGACAGAGCATGAGCATGGGAGGGGCAGAGAGAGGGAGACACAGAATCCAAAGCAGGCTCCAGGCTCTGAGCTGTCAGCACAGAACCCTATGCGGGGCCTGAACCCAAGAACTGTGAGATCATGACCTGAGCCAGATTCAGACACTTAATCAACTGAGCCACCCAGGCACCCCCGCTTTGGATTGTTCTTGGCAGATGTCTGGAATCTGAATAGCTCAACAGCAGTTGCATGGGCTATTTTGGTTTGAATTATGTGGTCGTGATAAATTTAAAATCTTGCTTTGATAATTCATAAAAGTTAAAAATCCTCACAAGAGTCATTGAGTACATAGGGAAAGCAAGAATATCATTTTAGGGAACTCAGTTGTACTTGGTTGTTCCTGGTAGTGCATTGCTATTGAGCTACCCTGGTGTCGCTTTAAGAAAAACAAGTTTATGTGACTAGAAACTGTTGGGAAAATGATGCCACAGTAATTTTCTTATAATACAATTTTCTATTTTTAATCAAGATATCTGGGTATGAAAGTTATATCAGTATCATCCTCAGATGTCTACAGCACAGTTGTCTCTCCGTCAGTGTTGCATCTTCATAATTTTCTGTGCACACAGCAGGTGAATCTTCAGCCTTTCTGGGAGATAATTTTGAAGAGATGGTAAAATAGAATGGAAAGTCAAGGAGGGGAGAGAAGTCTTTGTTCATTAGAAACATCAAAAACAAAAGAAAGAAAGAAAGGAGAGAAAAGAAAGAAAAGAGAAAGAAAGGAAGAAAGGCTTTCAAAGTTGGTGAGAACAGCCTACCAGTGAGTTATTATTTTTTGAGCCCATGTGTTATTACTGTGTAGCCCTGTACCCCAGACGCTCTCGGGTGGAGTCTGTGATCCCTATTCAGCAGGCATGAGAGAGAACCGTCCTAAAGGGTAGGCCCTCCTGATGAATGCTTCCTGCACTAGTGGAGATGTTGTCTACCCCTGGTTGAATGTGGTTTTCCTCAGTTAACATCTACATGGGGTTTCAGATTGGGTTTTGCAAATGGGCGGGAAAAGATGCACTAGACAAATATTACAAAATGGTAACCACAGAAATATTTTTCAGCTGGAACCCAGCTAAAGGAAGCCTCATTCACTGGTGGAGGAGACAGATGATAGGAACATAGTTCTGGGGATTTTGTCCAAGGGAAATCCTGGCTCCGGGTTGACCTGGTTCAGGCTTGGAATTTTGTGGCTCCCTGCGTCATCCTTGATTCCAGAAAGCCGGCTCCACATCGCAGGAGTCCTCCTCACTACTCCACGGATTTGCTGCTGCTCTAGCACTTTGTTTTCCCATGGTGCAGTGCTCCATGCCCAACCAACCTCGCAGGGGTGGATCTGGGAATAGATGAAGTAATGTTGAAAACAAACCTTAAAAGTGCCTTCTGGGATCAGATACAGCAAGGTCTTGGAACATCAGAGTGTGTTATTCCCGTCTACCCTATTGGGCTGGGAACGTGGCTCAGTGCTCTCGGCCAGGGTTTCCCAGCCATGGGGCCAAGGCCCACAGAGTTTTCCCTTCCCCAAGTGTGCAGGCAAGAGAAACGCTGGTTTCATTTCCCTAGGCTAGCCTTACTGTGGTCAGGACCATTCCTGAGTTTCTTTCTCTTGGGAAGAGACAATCAGGGCCGTATTTCTGGTGGTATTTCCTCGCAGTACCAGAGGCCCCACTGCTGGTGGCAGGAGCAATGGGGCCAGAGACTCCTGGTTTTGCTTCTCAGCCTTGCACCCCTGTGGTCTGTGAACTCTGTTGCAGGCGTTGTGAAGCAAGGCTACATGTTTTAAAGTTCCTTAAGGAGTGGGAATGGGTGTTACGAGGAGTGCTGAAATTCAAACATTTAATATCATTTCTGTCACTGCACCTTGGGCTCCCTATTCTTTACCTCGGTGACCCCATTCTCCAGGACTCTTCTGCCTCTTTCCATGTCTGTCCCACACGTTCCAGCCCTGGAAACAGAGGCTAAGCCAGGAATCTCTGGAGGGGTGGGGAAAGCCGACTTTCACTGTAGTGGACACGGTGGGTACAGGAGTCTTGGGGGCGGAACAGATGGCACTGAGCCCCAGCCGTGTTCTCTGTGTCCCCAGAGTCTTCAGCACACGCTCGGGGGTCTCTGGTGGTTGGCACTGCTCAAAGTCAAAGACTCCTTCCAGGAGGGCCAGCTGTTTATGGTGCAAGAAGCAGGAGACAGGTGAGGAGCAGAGCTGGGGGCCCTCGAGCAGCTACCCGTTGGCATGTCGGGGCCGCGTGCTGCACCTTCAGCCATGGCTGCTGTTTGCTTTTCCTGGAAGGCATCAGCCACTCACTGCAATGTGCAGGGCAGGTGGCCCTCAGGAATCTGCAGTTGTGCATGCTGAGGGCAGTGCAAGCAAGGACCGGCAGGCATGGGAGGGTTTATGGGGGCCAGACTGCATCCCTGCTCTGGTGTGGCTCACATTCCTACACAGAATCCTGCCCAGGTACAGGGAAGCTCCCCTGTGCTCTGGGGGTGTGAACAGTGGTCAAGGAAGAGAGACTTGACTTTCCAACTCCATCCTACACCACTATGGGCAATCATGCTGTTGGGTCCCTGGGCCCTCAAGTGGGGTAACCACCCTATCCCCTGGCATGCTGTCAGCCTGGGGAAGGAGGATACTGGGGGAGTCCCTTGTTCGTGGGCAGGAAGAGAACGGCTTCTACCTGATGAGACGAGGTTCACACTCCAGGCCACAAGGGGTAGCCGTGTCTTCCAGATTTTACAAAAATGGGCATTTTAGGATACTGCAATGTAAATGGCCTCAGTCTTTCCATCTAGAAAGGTAGTGACCTCTCTTTCTCCTCTCTGAACATACCTCCTGCCCTCCAGTCACAGGACTCTTGATACTGTTGGCCTTGGGCCCTCCAGGATCCAGCGAGGCTGGTTCTGCTGCTTAAACCAAACCTCAAGGCCCATCCCTGACCCAGATGAGGGAAGCTCTGAGCCTCCCGTCTGGGAGCCGTGATGTCAGACCTCTGTTGCTGGGGTAACGTCTTGGCTGGGAACCTGTGGAAAAGGGCTTGTCAGTAAGACCTGGGAATGGCCGGATATGGAAACATCTGCCCGTGTGTACTGATGGCAGAGCCGTGGCTCACAAGCACCTTTTATTTAGGGTAAAATGATCAAACCCATTCTCTTCTTCTAACCTGTGCTTTCTATGTGTGACCTTCTTTAACCCTTCTGTGATTCTGGGGTTACTTCAGAAGTATATTTAATGAATTATTCATATGACTTGACCCACCACCCCCACCCCAAATTCTGTTTTATTTAATAGACTTTTCTACTAAGAGCACAAAAGATTGAGGCTGATTTAGTCAGGGCAAAACCATTTGCTTCACATGTTCGTTTTGAATGCTTGCTGTCCATGTTGTACAAGCTTCTTACTGTTTTCATGTAATAACAAAGATCTATTTTGAATAAATGATGGGTATGTTTTAACAAACTCTCACACAGTAGTAAAGCCTAAACTTGTGTTAATATATGTAAAGAATATTGTATAGCCATTTATATACTATGTATATATAAATTAAATAAGGTGGCTTCAGAAGTGAGAGGAGAATAAATCTAAGGTGCTTATTAAGTTGCATGTATTTGTGTAAAAAATTTTGAGTTATGGGTCTGTTTTCCTAGAGGGTGTGATGCGGGCCTGGCATCATGGAGGGGAGAGGGTGTTGAAAGAAGTGGAATTCACATCCTCCTGTCCAGTGTCTAGAGGTACAGGGCCTCAGCCCTTAGTACTAACCTCTCAACTCTGGAATGCAGTCGTGGGGCCAGGAAAGACCTTGGAAAAGCCAACACAGCAGCCACAGAGCAGCCCTGGGGCTGGGTGGCCTGCCTTCTATCTAGGCTCTGCCTCTGCTTATCTGTGTGCCTGTGAGTGGGCACTTCCCCTGCTCTAGGCGCTGAGCTCCTGGCTGTACTATGAGGGCCATTGAGTTTCATCTCCCAGGACCAGCCCCACCACAGAATGGCCAGCAGGAGGCACAGCTGCCAGCCCACCAACAAGCTCCTGGCCCAGGGGACTGCACCCTTTTACAGAGGTCTTCCCTGTAGCAGCTGACGAAATTCCCAGAAAGGAAACAGATCCACTGACCTCTCCTGCCCATATTCAAGATGCAGTGAGAAATGCATGCTCCAAGCTTCTCGCCGTCTGTCCTGAGAGCAAAAGTTTTGGGGAGGGCAAAGACTTCCAAAATAAACTCTAAGTTATTGGGTTCTGGGATTTGGGAGTTGGTAGAGCCTTTAGACACCACCTGCCACCACCTGGTTCAACCTCCTTGTCGACAAGGTACTGTATGCCACAAAGAGTGAAAGGGGATGTTGGCCCATGAAATTGCCCTTCCTGCCCTCGGAGGGCTGGGTGCCCATTCAGGCTGCTGAATTGCTTTCCTTTTTCTGGGCTCTACTTCTCTCTGGGCCAGGGAGAAGAAGTACGTCATGAAAACTTCGGGCATCCTCTAGCAGTGCCTATGGAGGGGTGAGGTTCAGAGAGGAAGGGGTCTCTGGGGGTGCACCAGGCAGGGACGTGCCACCTGGTCCCACGGAGTCATCTCTAAGATGTCACCGGATCAGATGTGTGAGGCAAAACTTAGAAAGTTCACTGAAGAACATGAAGGCAAGTATCTTTGTGACCGAAGATGGAAAAGTGTTCTTCAATAAAAATGTTACAGGTACAGCCCTTAAGGCAAAATGATTGATGAGTCTGATTACATACAAATAAAGATTTCACAGGGAAAATGAATGGGAGCAGGTATTTAGAATGTCTGAAGCCAATAATGTACAAGCAATTCTGTAAGTCAGCAAGAAAGACAGCAACCTTAGTAGAACAATAAACAGTTTGCAGAAGAGAAAACCCAAAAAGCTAAAAGCATAGGAAGATGTGTAAAATCATTAGAAATACAGAGAAACATGGGGCGCCTGGGTGGTTTAGTCGGTTAAGCGTCCGACGCTCGCTTAGTTCATGATCTCGCGGTTCGTGGGTTTGAGCCCCGCGTCGGGCTCTGTGCTGACTGCCAGCTTAGAGCCTGGAGCCTGTTTCAGTCTGTGACTCCCTCTCTCTCTGACCCTCCCCTGCTCACACTGTCTCTCTCTCTCTCTCTCTCCTAGAAATAAAAAAAATAATAAAATAAAAAAAAGAAATACAGAGAAACACATATAAAGCAACAGTAAGATATCATCTTATGCCTATTGGTTTGGCAACACTTAGAAAACACTGAATGTTGGAGAGTGGAGGGTATAGGACTTCATGTATAGCCAATCTGAAGGGCAATACCACTGTTGTGGGCTGAACAGTGCCCTCCCCAAATGCATATGTTGAAGCCCTAAACCCTGCCCGAGTACTTCAGAACCCGTGTGTATTTGGAGGTACAGAGGAGGCGGCCATCCATCCACAAGCCAAGGAAAGACACTTCCAAAGACGCCAACCCTACCGACACCTTGATCTCCGACCTCCAGCCTCCAGAACAGTGAGGAAATACATTTCTGTTGTCTGATCCACCCAGTCTTTGGTACTGGGTCATGGCGGCCCTAGCAAACTAATATGGCTACCTTCCCAAACTTAGTGTACACAGGCCTCATGCTGTGGATGTTTCACTCCTGGTTAGATGTCCCTGGGAACGTTTTACACAGATCCTTAAGGGGACATGTGTGCAGTTAAGTTTCACAGAAGCATTGTCTGTGCTGGTAGGAAGCATTCTGCATGTCTACTGTGCACAGACAGAAGTACGTGGGCTCACCACGGAAACCACACTGCGGGCGCAAGTATCAGACTTAGGTGTGTTGGAGCAGTGGCTCTTCAAAATGGAGAACGGAGTAGAAAAATAACATTTATATGATTGGGAATCTATGCACACAAAATGATAAAGTATTTTGTAAGAATGTATTTTAAAAGATACTTGTTGAATACATCCATGTGCTGGCCTACTAGGCGCCAGGAGCATGGGAGTGAGGAACAGAGATAATAAGGAATTGAAAGAAAAGAATACTTGCTAGGGTCAGCAGCCAGGTCTGAGAGCCCTGGGTGAACCAGGAGGCCCTCATTGCCCCTGGAGATCTTGCCTTGGGTGTGCCCTTGCCCTCTGTGCCCAGAGAAGGCCTGTATCTGTGGGGCTCTGGCCCCAAATGCTGCCAGAGTAGTTGAGCCTCCAGAGTTCTCAAGTGGGCAAGCTAGGGGAACTGAAGCCAAGGCCAGGGGCTAGAATGGTCGGGGAGGGCTTCTGGGACACATGGGAGAAGGGGAAGGGCAGAGAGTAGAGAGGAGGAGACTCAAAAGGGGAAAGTAGATGGGCGAGCCAGCTCTGGCCACCGGGGACTCTTTCCTTCCCAGATTCTCTGACCAGTAGTTTCCTGGCGGAGGCTTTTTCCCACATGAGGCACTCAGCTGAAGGACTCTCACAGGGGACTCTCAGGGAAAAAGGAACACAGCTGCAGGAGGGACAGAGGTGCTCCCAGTGGCAAGGCCTTCTTCCCACCCCAGATATAGTCTGTTCTGGCCACAGAGCCAAAAGCATGAGCCCAGGGAGGTAAGCCCAAGGCGGCCAGGGACAAGAGGGTGAAGCAACCCAGGACCACCATTGCCCTGAGGGATTATTCCAGGCACATTTTCTGAGGCCCCAGGGGTGAGAGCAGAGGCCAGAAGCTAGGAACACAGGGCTAACAGTACGATGAACTTTCTCACAGAGCTGTGCAACAGGACTCAGGGAGATAGTGAGCCCTCCACCACGAAGGTGTGCAAACGGAGAGGAGCTGTGTCAGATGGGGCCTTGGAACACACTGTCCCTGTCTTGGAGACCTTGCCTCGTCCTGGGTACTGGTGTCCGCGAGGACATCTGCCTATCTCCCGAGTGCCTCCTGTTATGTCCATCCTGTGGGGTGAGCCAGACGCCAGTCACAGGAAACGGCCTCTGCCAGCTCCCATTTGAAGAGTAAATATTAGTCTTTTCAAGAGCTGCGTGTTCTCTGTCACTTGGCACCACTGAGGACACTGAACTGCGGTTGGCCAGGGTCGGGAGGGACCTCTTGATCCCCACACCCAGATGCCGTCTGTGAGCCTGAGTCACTGTTGTAATGGAGGGTCCAAGGCCTCCCCATATGTGGGTGGCCATCCTGTCCTGGTCACTCGGGAAGTAGTGAGCACTGGGGCCTTGAGCTAGGCAGTGAGTACTGCCCCCAGTACTTGCTCTCCTCATAGTATTCAGGCTGCTGCACAGGCAGGGGACTGCATGTTTTCACCTGGGACTGAAGGCCGTGGGCCCTGACTCTGGTATACGTGGTTTAAAACCCTCTGATTATTGGGATGGGGGAAGGACTTGCTCCTATTCCACTGTTTCCACTTGGGAAGACTGCGTCTGCCCATCATAACTAACAGACCACCCCTTTACTCTAGCCCCTCACCCTGCTTTCTTCCTTCTGTAATTTTCCTCATTTTTGGTAAACATCAATAGTTTATTTTTCTATATTTTATTATTGGAGTATAGCTGACATGCAATGTTAGTTTCAGGGGTACAATATAGTGATTTTACAACTCTGTACATTAATCACCACGGTAAGTGTCATCACCATCTGTCGCCATCCATTATCACAATATTATTGACTCTGTTCCCTATGCCGTCCTTTTCAGCCTCCTGTAATTTTCCCCATTTAAGGATCTGACTCCTCCATTAGAGGGTCAGCTCCGTTCCTGCAGGGCCTCTGCCTTGGTCACTCTGTGCACACAGTAAGTGCTCAGTGACTCTTTGCTGAATGAGTATTATGCCATTCATACTTTGAAAATATTAAACCAATGTAATTCTCATCTCCTAACCCCTGAAACTATATTCCTTAGAAGTCATTCCACCATTATGATCCAGGGGACGGTGGACAGATGGCATCTCAAGAAACCGGAAGGGAGGATGGAGGAGGAGAGTGGAAAGCCCATCTTAAGCTGGTGAGCAGCAAGAGAGAGAAGGGGAAGAATCCTTCAGACGTGTCCTGCCCTCATCCTCTGGTAGGAAATCTTGAGGGAGGAAAACCCTAAAAAGTGAAAACAGAGGGGGCATGTGTCCCATTCTGCATTTGGAACCAGTCTCCCAGGCAGCCTGTGCCCCTTAGGTGACCCTACTGGGTAAAAAAGGTAGATGGGTGGATTTGATGGTGAGGTTGTAGTGGGCACCACCAAGTGACTCTTGGCTCCCAGAGGCCTGGTAGGGATCCAGAAGCTCTTGCATGCTCTGCAGGTTATAAGGGAGATGGCTGAGTTAGAGCTGGTGGGCCTG